ATTTTCTCATTTCCTCTTTTAGGGTTTCTATCATCTTCATAAAGTTGTTTTTAAGATCATTCTCTTCTGTTTCATTTTTGTTGGGATGTTCAGATCTTGTTGGTGTAGAGTCCCTAGACTCTGGTGGCATCCTATTTGTTTTTCTGTTTTCGAATGTGTTCTTATATTATTGTCTTCCCATCCCTTCTTCCAGTGGGTACAGGTGGGGTCTCCTCCTCTCCTGGTGGGTATGGGTTCAAAGTTCTCTTCCTGTGGGCGCAAGCAGGTCCAGTACTCTGATTGGTCTCATGGTAGGTGAAGGCCAGTCTGAGGCACTCCCTCTCCTGGTGGGTGGGAGCTGGATTAGCTTAGTGCCTTGAGCAGAGTCAGTTGCTTGGTGAGCCAGGGGTGAGTTGACCTGCCTGCAGTCCCCTTTCCAGGACATCCCAGAGTGGGCAAGCAGAAGTGGGGCATGAGGAGGGGCCGGAGCTCACCTCTGCCCTGAGTGGGGGTGGGAGTGGCCCAGCAATTTCAGCAGACTTGTGGTTGCTTGGTCTGCCTGGGTCAAGTCGACCTGCCTGCAGTCCCCAGGCCAGGAGATTCCAAGTTTTAAGTTCTTTATTCTAGAACTTATCAACATGTTGTTCTTCAGCCAATCAACTTTTTCTTCTTAATCTCTCAGACTCTGCTATAAGATAAATAAATACATGGATGGATGGGTGGATGGATGGATGGATAGATGGATGGATGGATGGATGGATGGATGGATGGATGGATGGATGGATGGATGGATGGATGGGTAGGAGACAAGAAGACAGGGAGACAGATAGACAAACAGATAGGCAGATGTTTAATTGCACACCACTTACCCATAGCAGTGTATCTATCCTCAGAACGGTTTCATTGGGTGATTTCACTGCCGTATGAACATCAGTGCTTCCCTAAGCCTTATCTGCCCAGAGCAGCAGTGCTCTCTGACATTCATGTGTCTCTGTTTGGAAGTGCCGTTGCCTTTTTTCCTTTCTGCTTATGATACATTATGATCTAGTAAGTAGAAGATTTGTGTTAGAACTGAGTCTAAGAATAAATGTGAATACGACTTACGGATCTTAGTCTAGGGATTAAAAGTTATGAGCTTTAGTTAATTGATAGTCACACGCTTATTTTGACTGATATTGCAGCCTTTAGAGAAATGCAGTACTCATTTTATCTTTATGTTATATACATTATTAATTCTGTCTGATAATCAGAATGTGGGTGTTCTGTATTTGGACATTTACTTCAACTGTTTGTTTGTTTGTTTGTTTGTTTGACTGGTTTTCTAGTCATGAAGAATTATCCATTGAAAAAATAGGAATTCAGTATAGATTTTGGGGGATTTCAAATAATTTTGACCTTGACACTAATAATGTGGTGTATGTGCCTCCTTGTCACATAGAAAAATCAGAATCTTCTTAACTTAGTCTCTTGCAGGCTGTAAGCACCATCATTTAATATATTTATCCTTGAAAAAGATTTCTTCCAATTGCATTTGCAATTTGAAAGGGTACTCTGACCATAGTCTTTTATTTCTAATGCCTCAAAATGTGGTGGAGTTTTAAAGTTAAGTATCATGTTTAAAGGTTATGACTATGTACATCTGAAATAGGATTTTGTCTAGGAAAAAGAAAGGTATCACAAAAGGCAACCTCCAGTTGCACACACCGTCCCTTGGGACCTCGGGCACTCTTAATGCAACTGCTTATTATGTTGCTACAGAAAACTGTCACCATGGCACATTATGTGTTCCTAGGAATACTTCCAGTAGAAGCAAATGATACTACACAGTGATAGGCTCTTGGGAAAGCAAAACAGTTTGGCATATGGTTGTCATTTAATGAGGTCGCTTGCCTTGAGCTAAGGTGTTGCACGTATTTCATGAAGCAGAACTACACAGGTTGAGCAGACCCTTCAGAAGTCACCAAGACAGACTGTGTATCTGTGAAAACTGCTAAGGCCAGAGGCTATGGGAATGACAGCATGCTTTTCCAAGTCTAAACTCTGTAGAGGTGGAGAAACTTTCTTCCTCACTTATGTCACCTGTTTCTTCATTCCCACTACTTATCTGAGTGCCTGACACATCACCGAATAAAACAAAGCCTGCAACTCCTGACTGAGGAAAGAAAGAACTATAGTGTAAGCACCACTATTTTAACTTTTCAGACTCCTTTGGGGCATGTCACAGAGCTCAAGAGGAAAAGCTTGCTGGCCACATTCTGTCAGTGCTTCGATTTGACACAACTTAGTCTTGGAAAGTGAATTGTGAAATCCTTTTCTGGGCACATTTTAACATAGAGCATAGGACCACTATGGGGCAACATAAAGTAATAGAGATAGTATTTTTGCTATTAGAATAACTTTATAATTCTAGCAAGGAGGAGACCGCCTCTTAGTTTCAGAATCTGTCATTCCTCGTTACTGAATCGGTTGTGTTTTCTCAGTTTAGATACTTGGGAGGAGATGTGTCTTGTCTGTTTTCCTGAGTCTGAGCATTTGCTTATCATCACTTCTGCTAGAGTACTTGCTTCCTCCATACTTTTCATGACTGTCTCCTGTCTAGCTTAAATGGCATGTCTCCAGAGAGAAATTAAGTGAGACTTTCTAATTAGTGTTTGTTTATGCCACATAGAACTAATGGGCTTGAGTTATCATTTTTAATGATACAAAGAAGTAAATAACACCAAGCATGGTGACACATGCTTTTAATCCCAGCACTCAAGAGGCAAAGGCAGGTGAGTTCTAAGCCAGCCTGGTCACACAGCAAGTTCCAGGCCAGTCAAGATACAGAGTGAGAACATGTTTCTAAAACAAATGAAATGAAAGTAGTAAATAATTTGTATTAAAGATTGTCCTCAACAGCAATATGGTTTAAAAACTGTCAGCTTGGACTTAATATATGGATCATTTGCTGGTGTATACCAACCCCCCTAAACCCTGGTAACCTCAAACAGTGTATTCTGACTGTGTTGACTGATACAGCTGGTTGATTCTGCCTTGGAAGTCTCAGGCTGGTGCACTCATCTCTGAGTCTCCTGAGGTTTTATCTCTGGTGATCTAAAGGTCCTGCTGAGCCTGACATCCACTATGATTCTTCAGTCATGAGCTCTGTACTAGGACTTCATTTGCTAATATTGTTGGAAGCTAACCAGGCAGAGAACTGCCTTTAGCTGTTTCTCCCTAGAGCTAGCCTGGGCTGCATGTTGGCAGGGTGATCCCACAGTCCTCAGTAGTAATATTGTATCCTGGCACTTACTAAAGTGGGTGTTCTCAAACAGCAAGTGCTACAAAGCCTCCAATGTAACCTGGGCAGTCACATAGCATCCCCATCATATGTCATAGAAATCTATTGGTGAAAGAGGAGTTACCTAACAATAGTAGAGAACAGATAGACTCTAAGTAGCTTTGAGCACTACTGACCTCTCGATAATCCATAAGTATAGACTATCCTTTGAAATTCCTTCATCATTATTTTGTTGTTTTTTGTTTGTCATTTTCACCTCTTTGGTTGAATTTATCCCTATAAAATGTATGTATTTGTGTACACACACGCGTGTGTACACATGCGCGTGTGCATTGTACAAGTGTCCATGTGTATACATTTGTATATGAATGCACATGCATATTCATGCATGCTATTGTAAAAGGGTTTTCTTAATGTCTTTCCTGGGTTGTTCATTATATAATGATGTACATAGAAATGCATTTTATTTTGTGTGCTTACTGAATTCATGTATTAGTATAGGCTCTATGTAGAATTTTTTGAGTTTTCTGTACATAAGATCTTGTTACCTGCAAACAGATAATTTTACTTTTACAATGTGGATGCCTTGTATTTTTTTTTATTTTCCTAAGCTCTCTGGCTAGTAATATAGTACTGTACTTAATCAAACTGTGAAAATAGTTCCTTGAAATTATTTAGGGAGATAAAACCCTCTTCCCTTCCTGTGGTGCTGTACCCCACACCCTGCCCCATGAAACCTAGGGCTTTGTCCCCAGTGCTGCAGCTCTCTGGATGACCGGTTCTGTAGACAAGGCAGACCTTTAACTGTGCTCCACAGCAGCCTGGGACAGCTGTCTCCCAAGTTCACACACAACAAAGTGGTGCCTTTGGACGTGTTCCCACCAGTGTCAGGCTTACATTGTAGTCTTGAGTAATACATATCTTACCAGAACAAGATTAACTGTTTAAGGTAGTACAACCAAAACAGAGAAAATATAAAGTGCCTAGAGGCACTTATAAAGACCACAGTTGAGAACAGTGCAGATGTGGGGCAGACAGGATGGCTCAGGAGGTAACAATACTCGCCTCACAAGCCCGCCCCACATCTGAGCTGGACCCCTAGAGCCCCATATTGATGGAAGGAGAGAAACAGGGCCACAGAGTTGGCCTCTGATCTCCACAAGCTGCTATAACACACATTCCTACCACACACATACTAATAATAATAATAATAATAATAATAATACTTTTTAAAACTGGACATTACAGGCCGGGTGTCTGTAACTTTGTCTACTAAAGAGTTCTGGATTCCATATTTACAACAGAAGCTGAAAACCAACATGTTTATAAAAAAGTTGTAATTTTAGCAGTTAAGACTTATATGACAGCCAATTTTAAAGTTTTGATGTAAAAGGACAAAACTTTGCAAGGCTGCTTCTTTCACCAGTGAACACCAGAAACAGCTTGGCTCTTAGGAAAGGCTTTTACCACAGCAGTGTGTGAGACATTGGCGCGGCCGCCAGAAATCAGAAAGGGGTCTCACTGCAGGGCTTTGTCTTGGTTAAAAAGATCTAAATATGGTCTGAAATAACCCCTTTCCAAGTGTATTTAATTCTTAGCCAATGGCCTGTCAAAAATCAGAAATTTGTTGTCTCTAAGTAAAATGAAAATACTGTTATTTCTTAAGTAGCGGTGTTTTCAAATGACTCGTTCTGTTTCATTCAGTCTCTTGTCTCCCATTTCCTTCATATCTTAAATCTAGAGCTTTCGAAGAGAAACGCAAAGAACAGGAAGAAAGAGAGTATCAAATGAGAGAGCGCATCCTGCAACAGAGGAAGCAGAAGTTTGAGGAGGTCACTGAAAAATTCCAGCGTGCCCATGTCCCTCTGTCTCAGAGGAGGAGGGCAGGTACCTTCATTTCTAGAACAATTGTGAAACAAAAATGAAAGTTGTAATATGATTTAAATAGAGTAAACAATAAAATTGCACATTTAAAAATAAAAGTAGAAACCAAAACCACAGCAGCCTGGTGTGCTGTGTGAAATGAAAATGAAAATCAGGAATTGGATTTAAATTGATTTGGAGAATACTGTGTTGGCTCCATTGGTAAATTCTCTATTCACTCACAGGTTTCTTTCAACTTCATGCTAGTTCACAATTTTGTCTTTTTAAAATCATTTTTTAAAAATAATGTAACAGAAAATTTAGCAGTTGGGCTCAGGACATTACTGTCACACTCATTCTGGTATTTTACTTGTGGTTCACTTCAGATTCTTACTTGAGAGGCTGGCAAAACACATCTACAAAGTAACATAATTAAGAATTGAAGTAATTGGACTGAGGAGATGGCTTTGTGTATCAAGCACTTGTGAAACATGAGGGCTGAAGTCTGCATCCCAAGAGTGACAAAGTCAGGCAGATGTGTCCACAGCCTGTACTAAGAGTGACATAAAGTCAGGCAGATGTGTCCACAGCCTGTACTAAGAGTGACATAAAGTCAGGCAGATGTGTCCACAGCCTGTACTAAGAGTGACATAAAGTCAGGCAGATGTGTCCACAGCCTGTACTAAGAGTGACATAAAGTCAGGCAGATGTGTCCACAGCCTGTACTAAGAGTGACATAAAGTCAGGCAGATGTGTCCACAGCCTGTACTTAGGCAGCACAGACAGGGATCCCTGAAGCACATGCTAGCTAGTCTTGGCAAGCTCTGGGTTCAGGTGAGAGACCTACCTGAATAGCAGCAAACACCCACCTTCACAAACACCCACACATACCTACATTCCCCATGTGAGCATGTATACACACATGCACATACATTAAAAAGGAATTTAAGTCTGACTGTGAGTGATGCTTCCTGACCATATCCACATTTTTAGACCTTAGATAGCAAGACAGAGCTAACAATATCTCAAAGCTTGCTAAAGAAAGAGCTGGCAGTGCCGTCATGTACCCGGCCGTCATGTACTGGGCTGGACTCTGTTCCCAGCTATACTGAGCTGCAGAAATATGCAATTGTACTCTAACACTAAAATCCACAACTTGTTTTGGGTGATAATTTAAGCAGTATCATTGGTACAATAGTTGATGTGATAACAGAATGTGTAACTACTGTGAAAACATAGGAAAGAATGTTAGCATATGTCAGGACATTAGGTCATTGTTCCTAGAATAATGACATGCATGACTCTTGAACCAGGATTTTGCCAGACAAAGATAAAATAAAGGTTAGCCCAGACAGAAGGGACAGTTCATACACATGAACTGTGTCTGTCTGTCTGTCAGAGGCATAAGTTAGTGGGTTAGAAGAGAGGAATATTAACTTGAAACTAGAAGAAGTAAGTTGGAGCCAACTCCTAAAGAACTTTGTATGCCATGCTAGAAAGTTCTTCTTCATACAAAATGTCATTTTTGAACTGGAAAGTAATCCATTTCTGTGTTACTAAGGTATCTTAGTATTAATAGGTGCTACAAAGAACACTGATACCATGAAGATACCAAAACATGGTAGGGTTTTCTTTTTCTCTCTCAGTCCTGAGGTCAAGGTCAAGAGCTGGTTCCATGGTTGTATAGATTTCTGCTGTCTTGCAGCTAACCACTTTCTACAGATGGTTTCTATCTTTACTCTTGTGGATATGGTAGCTACTACATTGCCAGCCATAGAATTGATATTCTAGACAGAAAAGGGACATAAAGGTTATGTCTCTGAGCCCCCTTTAAACTTTAAATCATTGCCTTAGAGGCCAGCCTCCATTTATGTAATTTTATCTATTTGAGTCCTTTTGTAAGGGAAGCTGAAACTTTCTCAATGTTGGCTATGTTTCTACTCCTAACAGTATAATCATTGTCACTAAGATAAGGAAATGAATATAAGAGTCCTCCCATGGTAAGATCTGTTTGTTAGAAGGATAATCATAGTGACAACATGGAATACGGATGGCAGTAGAGACATACTCAAGTTAAAAGACTAGAAGGAGAAGGCTCTGGGAAGATGCATTAAGTTCCTCAGGTGAGCAGTGACTGTATAGACAGAAGGAGTAACCTACTCAGATACCACAATCGATAGAGTTACTTAGCATAGGAGAAGAAAAGCGACGAGAACAATGCCGTAGGAACTTGGCAGAGAGCAGCACACATAATCTGCATTAATAAATGGCAATATTTTACTAGCATGTATTCATTCTATGTCATAAATTTTATTTCTATATTTTTATACATGTATAAAATATTATCATATGCACTCCCATTACCCTCCCTTGTGTCTAGAGTTTGACCTAACACCTGTGTAATAGTATACTGGCTTTTCTTAAATACTGTGAAAAAATTACAGCCAATAGAATAGTGAAGAAGTATAGTGACATGAATGTTTTAAAAGTAAAAGTGTTCTTTTGAAAAATGTTAGGTTTCCTCAAAGACTTTGAGCTAGAAAATCATTTCTTCTACCACAGGTTTTGAATTATGTATAGAATTTTATGGGTGGAACATGTTTCCATATGCAAGGATGCAAGGGGAAGCATTCTTAAAAAACAGCTGTGTTCCTACAAGGGGAACACACAGACACTGAGATCGACAATTAACAAATGGGACCTCCTGAAACTAAAAAGCTTCTGTAAGGCAAAGGACACAGCCAACAAGACAAAAAGGCAGTCCACAGGATGGGAAAAGATAGTCACTAACCCCACATCTGACAGAGGGCTAATCTCCAAAATTTGCAAAGAACTCAAGAAGCAAGTCTCCAAAACACCAAAGGATCCAATTAAAAGGTGGGGTACAGAACTAAATAGAGAATTCTCAATAGAGGAGGCTAAAATGGCCAAGAGACACTTTAAAAAAGTGTTCAACATCCTTAGCCATCAGGGAAATGCAAATCAAAACAACTTTGAGATACCATCTTACTCCTGTCAGAATGGCTAAAATCAAAAACACTAAAGACAATTTGTGCTGGAGAGGATGTGGAGAGAGGGGAACATTCCTCCACTGCTGATGGGAGTACCAACTCGTACACCCACTTTGGGAATCAGTATGGGAACTACAACCCAAGGAAGCTAACTACAACCAGAGGAAAATGGGAATCAATCTACCACAAGACCCAGCAATTCCATTCTTAGGCATATATCCAAAATATGTAAATTCATACAACAAGGACATCTGCTCTACTATGTTCATAGCAGCATTATTTGTAATAGCCAGAAACTGGAAGCAACCTAGATGCCCCTCAACTGAACAGTGGATAGAGAAAATGTGGTACATTTACACAATGGAGTACTACTCAGTGGAAAAAAACAATGGAATCTTGAAATTCACAGGTAAATGGATGGCACTAGAAGAAACCATCCTGAGTGAGGTAACTCAGTCACAAAAAGGCAAACATGGTATGTACTCACTCATATATGGATTTTAGACATGGATCAGGAGAGTGCAAGTCTGCACTCCCACTGACAGAGAGTCTGGGAAACAGGAAATAACCTAAGAGAGATATGCATGGTACCCCAGAGAAGAGGAATGAGGCAAGATCTTCTGAACAGATGGGGAACACGGGGAGGGGTGGGGGGAATGGGAGCTGGGAAGAAGAGAGGGGGAGAAGACGAAGGGAGAGTAGGTCATGGGGGAACAGGAAGGTTGAGTGGGGGGGTAGAATGGGGGAAGAGGGAATCATAGGTTAGAAGACAGATCAGGCACCATTGTGACCTCTAGTGATCTAAAGGGATGACACCGACTGGCAAGCTAAGCAATAGTGCAGAGACCGCCTCAAATGCCCATTCCTGATAATGAACTTGATGTCTGTAACCATCCTGGAGCCTTCATTCAGTGACTGATGGAAGCAGAGGCAAACACCCACAGTTAAGCACTTAACTGAACCCAAGGAACCCAGTGACAGAGAGAGAGAGGAGCGATGAGCAAATTGGCAAAGAATGGGCTGGCAAAACCAGCAGAGACAGCTGATCTGAACAAGCAGGACCTTGGACCTCAGACCGACAGCTGGGAAGCCAGCATGGGACTGATCCAGACGCCCTGAGTGTGAGAGTCAGTGAGGAGGCCTGGGCAACCTATGGGGCCCCGGGCAGTAGATCAGTGTTTATCCCTAGCATACAAATGGACGTCGTGTGTCCATAACACAAAGCGGGATGCTCTCTCAGCCTGGACTCTTAGGGGAGTGCCTGGACCCTACCCTGAGTGAAATGACAGACTCTAGATATTCCCTATGTGGAAGGAAGTGGGGATAGGGTGGGAGGCTGGGGGGGGATGCGGGAGGAGGAGGGAGAGGGAACTGGGATTGACATGTGAAGCAAGCTACTTAAAATTACAGTAATAAAAAAAAAGAAGTAAGGAAGAGGAATACATTGAGTACCAAAGTGCACATTGGAAGACTTGGAATGAAAGTGGGTGTCTACAGAAAACAAGAATGAATGAGGGGTCTACAGAGCAGTGTGGGGTTAGTGCCCATGTAGCATATTGTCATGAAGACATCACTTGCCTTCTTCATATACCTTCTCGGTTGTGAAACTCAAAATAGCGCCTGTGCCATAGTCATGATGAGCATATTTACAAAGCACTTGATAAGCTATGTAGCAGTAAATGTCCAAAGTTAGTTAACCTTTTCATTTTATTCAGAGCAATATGTAAAAATTTTGAGACCATGAGATTAAATATAGAAGAGTTTATATATCAGAAAAACCTATACATTCTTCAAATACCCTTTTGCAAATAAATATCGTCATAAAATTGATGATGAAGATCTCAAAATAACAATACCTCTGTAGGACTTACATATCAAAACTTAAATTTGTATTCCATTGTAAATAATTATATAAGAACATTGAAACATGTTCTTATATAATTTTTGGACAATTAAATTATAAACCATTGGTGATAAAATGATTATTTTTTTCTATTCCCTTAGTTTTTCACAATCCAGTTCCTCCATTAGAAGAGGCCCTTAAACAAATTCAAGAATCCAACTTAAAATCAGAAGTAAACATTCCTCTTTCCCACAGACCAGCAACAAGTTGGCGGTAAGTAATTTATTATTACTGTATTAATATTATTAGACTGTTATCACTTAATATACAATAACCACATGGCTTCGTGCTCACTAAATTTGTAGTCTTTCTCATTGGTTACTTCTCTTTTTATTTTTTTTGCCGGGGGCTTAGGGCAGTTCAAGACATGGTTTCTCTGTGTAGTCCTGGCAGTCTTGGAGCTCACCTTGTAGACCAGGCTGGTCTCAAACTCACAGAGATCCACCTGCCTCTGCCTCCCAAGGGATGGAATTAAAAGCATGTACCACCACCACCTGGCTCATTGGTTACTTCTTATCTCTGTTTTAGAATTTGTTCTTTTTATAAATTAATTAGGAATTAAGCCAATTGTAATTTGTGGTCTTACAGTCACTAATAATGCAAATACTGCCAATAGAGGATAATTCTCTATGAAAAATATCAAATCTATTTTAATATATTGATGTTTATTGAATAGATAAAATTGTTTAAATTGTATTGAGATAAATTTAGTTTTAAAAACGTCATTTTGTGGTTGCAGTGTTTTTTTTCACTACTCAGATTTTTTGTTGTTATTATCTCAATAAAAACTACAATATCTGTAGTTTATCTCCAGAGTTGCCTAAATAAATCATATAAACATGTACTAGCCAGTCACTATATTTCCTCCAATAAATGTCTTTTCCATTTTTTTCCAAACATTTTTGAAGTTACTATATGCAGAGAACTAGATAAAGCATTGGAAAGCAATGTGGAGTAGACTCTTCCAAAGAATTTTATATCTATCTACAGATGGATGGATGAATGGATGGATGAATGAATGATAGACAGATAGATGGAATCAATCCTTAGTATATAACCTTAGAGAGAAGTAAAATGCTTTGGAAGGTATCAGGACTCTGGTTGTAGCTCAATGGAAGAGCACTTGCCTCACATGATTAAAGCCTGGAATTGATCCCCAGCACCACAAAGAAATGCGTAGAACTACATCACATATGTAAAGGGATACTTTTTTCTGTCTAGTCTGGGTCTTACTTGGACCAGTTTCTCTCCATCCACCAGGTCCCTGCACTCATGTATAAGATAACCACTCAGAGACTTAATATATATTTATAAATGTTTGGCCAATGACTTAGGCTTCTTATTGGCTAGGTCTCTCAAATATGAACCCATTTCTATTAATCTGTATGTGTCTCTACATGGCTGTGGCTTACCTAGGTGATCATGCCCTGGCATCCTGACTCCCTAATGGCTACATGGCATCTCCTCACTCTGACTTCTCCCTGCCTCTTTGTTTGGAATTCCCATCTAGCTAAATTCTTCCTGTCCATTGGCCAAAACAGCTTTACTCATCAAGCGATAAGAAAAACACATAGTCACAGCATACAGAGGATATCCCTCATCACACATGAGTAGTAATAATAATCAGAACACTTACTTGAATGACATTATTAATAATTCATACTATAAATTGTGTTGATATTTTACCTATACAGAATATCATTCTGTTCTTAGAATTCCTCTGGTCAATAACTCTCTTGACTAGAGCTAAAAACAAATGATTTAATCTGTTCAGTAGTCATTAGAGTCTGTTAAAGTCTCATTAAAAAGGGATGCTTCAGACAAGCTCTGAAGAAAATAGAGGTAATCAGCATGAGTGGCGAGTGGCACTGTAGACAGATGAGCTCATGCAAGGTCCTCACGTGACAGTGGTGATGATGTAGTCGGGGAAAAGTGAGTTGAATCAGCTGGCACTATAGTTCAGTGGGGGCATGTTCACTGAGCATGCTCCAGACCCTGAATTTGATCCTCGCTCTACAGAGAGGTGAGAGAGGAAGAAGGCAGAGATAGACAAGAGGCCCCGTATTTTAAGATAGGGACAGAGGTGCATGCCTGTAATCCCAGAGCTCATGATGTGGAATCAAGAAGATCAAGAGTTGAGGACCTACTTCAGCTACATGAGACTCTATCCAAACCAACAGCAACAACAATAATAATAATGTAGGTGAATCAGAGACTACAAATACTATGAGCTTAACTAGATTTGAGAGTAGAAAGAGATGTATCTGTATGTTAAGAAATACAAACTTTGGGGCAATTGAGTGGCTTAGAGGGTAACATACTTGCCACCAAACTTGACAGCCTGCATTTGATCCCCAGGACCCACATGGTCAAAGGAGAGAAGCAACTAATGCAAGTTGTCCTCTGATTTCTGCATGCATTCTGTGGCATATTTCTGTGTGCACACATATATACAGAGACACATGCAAATAAATAGAATCTAATAGAAAAATGAAATATAAACTTACTCGCGAGATTTTTTAAGAGAGTTTTAAGCAAATGAGCAAAGTCATTTTTAAACATACCATCACAGTCATTATAGAAAATTGTGGGTAATGGGGAGAGAGTGGATAATGGAGCAAGGAAGAAAGGAAGGGAAGAAAAACATTTCATGAAAAGAATGGATTATAAGGTTGGTGTGAGAGCATAAAGAAAGTGAAAACAGTAAAGGTAAGAATTTAATAAGTAAAAGTTTAGAGGTTTCTCAAAAAATAAAAATATAATTACCATATAACTCAGCTATTTCACTTTTGAGAATATCCCAGACAGCTCTATGCCCTACCATAGAGATGTTTGAACCCTTGTTTATTGTTGCTTTCTTCTCCATAACAAAGAACTGGAATCAGCCCTGTTGTCCATCACATGAATGAATAATGAAATTTAAATATATATACATACATACATATATATACATACATATACATATATATGCACCAAGTTCTAAAGAAAAATGAAGTTAAAATGTGCAGGAAAGTAGACCAATGTGTACAGTACTAAGTGATGTCACACAGTCTGAGAAAGGAATAAACTACATATTCTCTCTCAGAGGTAGAATCTAGCCAATAATTTGCATACATATGTAAACAAATGTACATGTGGGGACAGTATAACAATAAAAGAAAACTAGTAAAGCTAAATATGATTAAAATGAGAAAGGAATGAATGCAGGGAATGGCCATGAGTTATGAGAAAAGATATAAAACTAATGGTTTTTCTAGTGCTAATTCTGTCATGGATTTTTTTTAGTTTGGTGGTGAATTCATGCATAAAACATATTCAGTACTAAAAATATAAAATTTAATGTTAAGCTTCACAACTTCCATTTCAAATGCCAATTCTTACTGGATTTGAGTTCATTAAGTTGTATAGACTTTGGGTCTGGTTACTTTGATGTGCAATACTTTTATTTATTTGCAAGTTTTTTACAATAAATTTTATTTTAAAAGAATTTGGTGATACTTTAAAATTTTTATTTAAGCTTTTTTAATCAGAAGATGGGAGTTCAATTATAAATGTAAAAATTTTATCAAAGTTGAAATAAAAGGACTAGAAAGAGATATGAAGGTTGTGATTTTAAGATTACTCAAAAAAAATTTTGTATTTTTGTTTCCCAAACCAGATTGTAGTTCTGTTCAATATAGTGACTAGGTCTTACACATACATGTATTACCTATAGTGTTACACATGTTGGAAAAGTTCTAGAAGTAAGCTGAACATATCCTAGATACTAGTAAACACTCTGAGGGTAGAAGTTGGCCTGAAGCTATACAAATGAGGAGGATATTCATCAGAGACAAGCGCTTCCTGCAGTTTAATTAGCTTAATTTGGCTTTCGTGTACAATGAGAAGACAGTTGTCAGTAGGAAATTACAAAGGAAGCCAAGAGTTAAACCAGGAAGAGCCTGTTAAGTAATATGTTCTAGAAATAATAAAAAAAATTGAAACAAGCTCCCAAAAATATGTTTTGGAATTTTCCCAAATGAGTAGGGGCAGACTAAATGTGGGGAAGTCAGAACTGCTACTTGGGTTAACAAAACGATTACTTCTTCAGAACTGCCAAAGAGGGAACTAGAAGATGAGGAAGAGTCAGGGATGATTGCAGAGACAGGATTTGGTAGGCAAATAGACAGTGAAACAGTGAAACCATTTATCAAAACTTAAGGATGAGGATAAGGAGACAGATCATGTTAAGCATTTTGCCACAATAAAAAGAATATTACTATGAAGAAGGCATCAACAGGGTTAGGGAAGGAGTAGTTGAAAGGAAGATAGGGTAAGCTGGAGTACAGGGTATTCAAGAACCAGTTTCTCATGACAAGAAGTCTAGGCCAGGCTGGGGAGATGGCTCAGTGGTTAAAGTGCTTGCTACAAAAGCAAGAGGACCCTAGTTCAGATCCCCAGCACCTATGTAAATGACAAGTGGCTGTGGTGGCTCACTTGCAATAAAAAAATATAACAGCCATCTGGGCCATCAGTACAGATGTGACAGTCACCACAGAAAAAACATAACAGTGGTTGGTATCCAGTGGGGCTTGAGTTAAATGAACAGAGTGCCATATGATAACAAGACAGTAAGTATCCTTGGATATGAGCACTCGTCAGGCAGGTTACAACGCAGTTGAAAGCTGATCTTAGCTGAGTCCATACCTCCTACAAAGGACAGCACCACTGTAAGACAATGTAATCACAGAAGATGAACTCCTTCCCAAGGAACCAACTTAGAAAGGTGCCCAATGCTCAATTAGTCCTTTGAGAAGAATAAACGTATATCATTAACCCTTTACAGACACATAGATATAGAGAACATCACAGTCAGTTTACACAAGATACCATGAGGAGATCTGGTAGAGTAAGAAAAGGGTGGCCAAACTCAGAGCTTCCAAAAGGCTGGCCTCAAGAGTAAGCCTCAAAAGAGCAACCAGAGAAGTTGAAAAAGATAGTGGGACACTAAAGCCATTAAAGACGGTGGTCAAATTTCTACTTTTACGGTTATTGGGTTAAGTAGCTAATCATAAGCAAAGCAACACACTGAAGTGAAACAAGCTAGAAATGTGTGTTAAGAAACCACAGTGGGAGACATGAAGGCTGCACAACTTTAGAATATTCTAGGAAAGCTTGTTGGGATAAAAGATGGCACATAATGGCCAACGCAGGCAGGGCTCAGAGGGAGCTTTTCTTTAAAACTTGTGAACTACTTAACATTTTTGTACAGAGATCCTTACTTTTTCAGTTTCTTTTTCTGTGTATCAACTATTATTTTGTGCTGATCATATATTTCCCATTTTAAAAGCACCTCTTGTACAACAAATGAAAATTGGTGTTTTTTCTTGTTCCGCAATGTGCAGTTGTTTAAAATCTTAGAAGGGTTAAACAGTCAGGATAAGCTTCAGTTCTTCTGAAGCAAACAAATATGTTATCATTTTAGCAAATCTGTACTAATATAACAAATAATATGTATTGTCACTGTGAGAAATAACCTGCATTCTGTGTCAAAATACCCAGTTTTCATAATATATTTTGACTATGACTTTGTGTGATATCTATGTGTATATATAAATCTTTATTTGAAAAGCAAATATGTATAATCTATGAGAAAAGATACCAGAATTCACTAATAAAAACTTGGACTTCTCTCCCCAAATAGATAAGTGCTAAATATTGTATATTAAGTATTCTACAAACTATAAATGTCATATAAATATGAAATTTTAGGCTATTAATGATCATTTCTTGGTTTTATGAAAATAAGTTTCTTGCAAATGTTTACACAAGGACTAATAAGCTATTGTAATGATACAAATGCATTTCAGTGGATATAAACCTAAAGTAGGTTAAGAAATAAAGTGGTACCATGAAGCAGTTCCAGAGAAGCAGAGGATAGCAGTATTTGTTCTGGGGACTGAGTAGCCACAGCCTCAGCCCGAGTGGTGGCTCTGACATAGAGAATGCTAATGGTAAATAAAACTAAATTAAGATGCTAATGTTACAATTGAAAATGAAGATTTGTTTGGAAAAGTGGGGGCTAGTTCTTAAGCCTCAATAAAAATTGGCAAATAGGTTTTTAGGAATAAAGAAAGCACTTCAGGAAGTAATGAGATATAAAAATATTAATAAGGTATTAACTCTTAAAATATCAGAAATAACCAACCTTCCATCATAATCAAGTTCTTATCACAAAGCTAATCTGCTTAAGAGGACATAGTCTCTCTAACAGAACAATTTGTTTGATATCTATCTCCAATATCCATGTATTTGTGATGAGATAGTCCATTCTGAACCACCCCCTGCCCCGAGATGTCAACATTTGCTCTTCACACTAGTGGCGGGAACTAGATTTTTCCAGCCTATGTCAGTGCATCACACTTTTGAAAGGAGGAAAAGTGAACTTGAGTCATCTGTGTGCCAGCTTCCATCAGTCAGTAGGAGAGGAGTCTGGCTGGCCAATGGAAGATGGAGCATGAACCCAGAGGATAAAATCAAAAGCCATCAGAAGCCTACAGGCAGCCCAGTCATAAAGGTTTTTAATCTTAATGAGGTTCTTTCTACTTGCCTGTCCGAATGCTTTCCCACCTATGCAGATCCATTCCTGCCTGTTCAGCTGTCTCCAGTCCTGATCCCTACTTACCTGGTCAGCTGTCCGCTTCACAGGCCCCATTGCTGTACCCTCACCCCCAGACCTGTGTCCTTCCGTCTGTCCCCTCTACTCTTCCAAAGACCTTTTTACCAGCCCCATTACTATCTGATCCCACCAGACATCCCCCTCACCCTCCAGCCCCAGTTACTTCCAGCTTTTCCAGCAGTTTCCCTAGTCTGCTAGCCCCTGTTCCTTCTGGGCCACCAGTCCTTCAAGCTCACCCATGCCAAAGTTCTCCAGTCGTTCCTGATCCTGGCTCACAGGATAGATTATTTTACAAAACATTCAGACCCAAACATTTACTTGCAGCACAGCCTTATACCCCAGCAACTCTAACGCCTGCCCTTATCCGCCGTTCCCTTCCAGCTCGACTGGTTGTTTCCCCAAGCCCCTTGGAATCTCTCCCTGTTTTGAAACCTTTCAGTTTATCCAGTCGTTCAACTCAGCCAGCTCCACCCCTCTCTTGTGTCACTCCTTTGCCTGAACATCCTGCTAGGTTTGATGCTTGTCATTCAGTTCAGAAATGTGTTCCACAAACCACATTGTCAAGTCAGCCGCGGGCCTCTGTAGACGCTCTGCCGTCCTTGGTTCTCCCCCACCCGCCCCCACGCCCTTCTCCATCCTCTCCTCTGCCACCATCCCCCTCGGCTTCCACACCCTCGTCGCCTTCGGCGGTAGCTTCTTCCTCTTCATCCATGCCTTCTCCTCCTCCACCTTCTCCTGGCACCTCCCCTCCCTCACCTATCCCATCTGCCCCTCTTTTGCCCTCTCCACGTTTGCCTCCAGCTTACCTAGCTTTCCCCTCTCCAGCGCCTCCTGCTTCCTCCTCCTCCGTGATTTCTTCTTCCTTTCCTCCCATGCTTCACTCTTTCTCGATTTCTTCCTCCCCATCTCCTTTTATTCCTATCCATCCCTTCAATCCTCCTCACTGGGGGAAGAAAGTAGAGAAGAGGAGAGAAGAAAGTGGAGTAGAGAAGAAAGGAATAGAGAAGAAAAAGTTGAGAGACGACAACTTTAAAGGTAAATAATTGAGTTTATTAGACATTTTGTAGATTTAGTTCTATGTTGTTTGGGAAGGGTAACTAAAGGGGAAGATTATGTAAGAGTAGAAAAGTTTGAAAACAAAAATAGACAGAAACATGTCCTCACTGTTCAGGAACGTGTACTAAATGCCTTCTCACTAGCCATGATCTCCTGGTGATGACAAAGGAATAATTAGGGATGTAGTAATCACTGACCTTGATGATTCTGGTCTGTCTAAATAAAAACATGTATGGGTATTGGAGATAGTTATATGTCACATGTGGTAATAAGCCACCTTCCAAAATGTTTCTTTATCCTGATTTAATTGGAAATAATTTAACTGAGTTGGTAATAAATGCCCCTCAGTCATCTGTATCCTTCTTTCATCATCCACTTATCCTTGAAGGAATTGGATTTTTTACTGTATATATATATACTGAAATGTACAAGCTATCAGTTTCTAGACAACACAAAAATATAATAGAAGAGATGTCCTGAGTTTCCAGACAATACAGCATTACGAATAAAACATACTGTCCTGATTGGACACACCAAAGGTAGACTAGTGAAGACACACTTTTGTAGCATAAAAAATATGCTTATGTGGGGCTGGAGAGATGGCTTAGGAGTTAAGGGCACTAGGTGCTCTTCCAAAGGACCCAGGTTCGATTCCCACCAACCATGCAGCAGCTCACAGATGTCTGTGACTCCAGTTCTGGGGGATCTAACACCCTCACACAAAGATACATGCAGGCAGAACCCCAATGTACATTTAAAAATAAATCTTCAAAAATAGGTGCTTATATTTCTAATTATATTCCTGAAACAAACTGAAAACAAAGGTTTATGTTCTTGGTTGAGTAAGAGCCGCACTCCCATAGCTAGTCATGCAGGAAGGACATTCATACCTACCCTGGCAAAGCAGCAGCCATATTTTCTTTCTGCTAGAATTTTAGCCAACTCTCTTTGGGATATAGGAATAACCACTGGCCATGACATCAACTAAGAACAAAAAAGCTAGTAAACATTATTGTCTATATGAAACATATCTAGAGAAATGAAAACTGACAGCAGGTGCACAGGATTTCTAGTCCTGCCCTGTGATAAAGTGGACCATGGTAACCCTGAATAAGCAGGCGTCCCTTGGTGAAGCTCTTCCTTATTGGAACTCTGCTCTCAAAGTCATTTTTATTCTTGTTTATTGCCTTAAAGTCCCATTCCAATATGTCTATAGAGTTCTCCAATATCCTTATATGTCATTATCTGGACACGTGCACATAGTATACAGTTGTGTCATTTATATACTTATAGAAATAAGTTAATTTCAGTTAAATGTACTAAATCTTTCCATATCTGGTTCACAGAGCTATAGATTCTGCCTTGCCTTCATCGTTGTCAAAAAATGATCACAAACATCAAAAATATCTCGTGCACAGAATTAACTGTGATAAAGAAATGAAGGAAAACAACATAGCAAACGTAGCTACTAACAAAAATGTGTTCCAGCTTAAACTGGAGGAGACTCAGAAGCTCCTAGAGAATCAACACCTAAGCAGTTTGCAAGTATGAACTATAACTGTGTTACTAGTGTTTCATTTGTAGTAATACTTCTGTCCTACTTCTCAGTGTTCTTCACAGAGATAAAAGGAGGCCATAAAAAGACTGTGGATGAGTCAGCTCAACTTCATCACAGATGGAAAAAGAAAACGTGGGGTTTTTTCCTGACCTTTTCCCATCTTTCTTCCTGCTCTTCCTCTTTTTCCATCTATTTAAAAAAATTAGGCTGTATGAATGTTATTTTCTGACAAATATAAAAGCTGTTTGAAAGAATAGTGTAATATAAATATTATTATTAGAAATTATATTTTAAAAAGCAACCTAAACTTATGATGCATATAGATGCTTCTGAACCATCTCTCCAACCCCTAAAACCAATAGTTCTTAAACCTAAATCCACATGCTTCATAGAAGTAAATAAGTGTAAGACTACTGCATGAATCTCATGTGGGAAACGAAACAGCGGGGCCCAGACATAGATTTTTGTCAGTATTTTGTTTGGACACAGGATATAATTTAGCCCAGGCTAGCCTCAAACTTAGTATGTAACCAAGGCTATTCTTGAACTTCTGATCCTCCCTGGCATATTTATTTTTATGAAACTCTTTGTCTCTTACATACAACCAGAGTTGAAATATATTTCCAGACCTCTATAAAAAGGCTATAATTCCTACCAACAGAAAGTTCACATTAGGGTCACAGAACTTTACTTTCTCTTTTAATTTATTTTTTGAGAATTTCATAAAGCGTATAACATATTTTAATCCTATCCTTTTGTTTCCTCCCCTATTCCCAGCCACCACCACTTTTCCATCCAACCTGATGCCTTTGTTTTAAAACAGCTGGCTGCACTCAGCGCTGCCTGGATGGGCGCGTGTAGAATTGCCTGTGGGCTGGGGTAGCCTCCCTGGGGTCGTGCACAGTCTCAGTGTGGAAGCGCAGGGCTCAGAGCCAGGGGTGATGAATGGCTGTTTCATCGCACAACTGTCAAGAGTCTCTTAAGTCCAGCGAAGGTTTCAGGAAGAGAATCTAGTTCATCAGCAAGTATTTTTCAGAATTAATTTAGCATTGTGAAGCCACGAGGAAACTCCATACCCTAAGCGGAATAGCAGTTATTTCTAAGCCATCATGGAAGCCAGAATAATTGAGCATTTACTTTGGGAGTTGAAATGACACTCAACTTTTTTATCCTTTCCTTACTTTCTTACTTTTTACCATGAGGTCTGCTGCAGGGGTGTACTTGTACCTATACTGCTTATGGTCACATTATTTTCCCTGTCAAGAAATATTAACCACAGTCTACAGCATAAAACAGTGTTCTTTTTTTTCCCCTCAGAAATTTTGTGATGAAGTTAATCAGATAACCAATTCTGAAACTCTCTCAAGTATAGACAGCCTTGAGGCTGCAGAGCGTGAAGAAATATACATAACACTTAGTATGACTCCTTCCACGTCCGCCCAGCAGAACTCTGTTCCCCTCAGGTCAGCAAGTCTGCAGTCGGCTCATTTAAACTGCTATGATGAAGATAGACTGTCTTTCTCTAAAACTCAGCATATAAACAATTGGCTCACAAACTTAGATGCTCAAAGTACTCAGCCTGTCACATCTTTTTCAGATATTTTAAATAAATCTAGTGTTCTGCCATCGTGGGAATGTTTGAGTAATAAAGAACAAAGCCCACCTACCCCGGGCAGGGCTGTGGAGAGAGCCACGAGAACCGCTAATGACTCCGTGCTCTTTGTATGTAGTCCTTCCGTAGTTGCTCTAGAGAGAAAAAGAGAGAACGCCTCTAAAGGGAGCACTGTGAGGACCAGTGATCCCGTTTACGGAACACCCCAAGGGGAGAAGTCGTCCAGTGAACCCGCTTACGGAACACAAGGGGAGAGGCCGTGCAGTGCCAAGAGCCCAGCATTTAAAGTCAGTGGAGCCTGGACTACTCCAGAATCTCTAACCCAGGAAGCAGCTTCGTTTTGCATCCAAGAGAGACTATCTGAGTTAAGTCAAGGAAACAGAACCGCTTCCATTCCTGCCTCATCTGCACCCCTTCTGCCGCCTAACTCACAGCCTGGTGGGCCTTCATCCGAAAACAGCACACCCATAAAAGAGGTCGAGGCCATGCCCAGCTCTGATAAGTTAGATGAGCTGAAAGATGTGAGATGTGAAAAGGTAAACCATTTTAACTGTAATAAAGAAAAGTTGTCTTTACTTTCAGACCATTTCCAGGCCGCCTGTGCACCTCAAACTTCTAATTCAAAAGCGAGAAAACCAACAGCAAGTGGGCCGTCAGCACCCCCGTGTGACGTAGCTCCTGACTGTGACTTGCCTGACCGCCACAGTGTGAAACACAACACCCGTGGACAAAATGGGGTGAGGCTGCTGAAGAGTATATTAAAGAAGGAATCCAGATACGACCACGATTATCTCAAGGCACTAGTTCTAAATCAAGGTTTTCGGTTCAGACATCAAAAGGCAGAAGCTATTAGAGATAGTATTGAATTAGCAAAACAAAAGGAGAAAGCCATAGGAACCCCAAAGATTACCAAGAAGCTACGGTGGCTTGATGAAAGTGATGACGTAGGAAGGTGTGGAGATGACAGCTACCCGGTGAGGAACAGGGCAGGAATGACTTCACGGTGGTTACAGCACTGTCACACCGACCTTGTGCAGGTGCCGACCTGCAACCTAACGAACGCGCCTGACCATACTGCACACACTGCTGCTGCTGGAAACAGGGCCACGGCTGACGGTGTCTCTGAAAGTGTCACTGGCTCAGGAGGATGTGAGATGGACAGTGTTCCTTTGGGCTCTTCTACACCTTCAGGCTATAGCTTTGCTAAACAAGCCTGGCCAGCCTGCAAAAGGGAAGAGAACAAAGCCCCTGGGCATGCTGGTGTCGCTAAGACTCAGAAGTCCAAGCCTCCTAGGGCAGCAAAGGGGACGAGAAGGGCAGGGTCTGCAAAGGTCCAGACAGGCCTTGTTTATATGAACAGGAAAACCACTATCAGCCAGCCACCATCTTCAAGCAAAGCCAACACACAGGCCCAAACTCAGGGTAAACTAATTATACCTCATCCTCTGCCTAAACCACCGACAAGCATTAAAAATGGTAAAAATATGCAAATGTCTCCATGTCAGTTAGCCACACCTGAACAGTCTCAAAATGTCATGACACAGAGCTGTTTAAGTTCATGCATGCTTCCAACAGAGTACCGTTTGAACCAGTGGACTCAAGAAAGTCATCCCCCATTCTCAGATGCTTGTTCTGACCTCCTCGCTGTGACCCCAGCCCTACCATCCCCTCACTCTTCAGAATGCCAAACCTCAGCAAAAGCAAACTATTCGAATGGCCCTCGCACAGGCTTGCAGCAAGACGGGACAGTATATTGTACCCAAGGAAGTCCTGTTTGTGAAGAGAGCAACCAGTCGTTAGCTCATAGGAATGCCGAAGAGGAGTCAGTTCTCTCATGGAGAGGAAGGAACAATGGGTGCCAAAATGACAGGGCCACTGGTAAGGAAAACATTTATACCTTCTTCTGGCAAAAAAGTATACAACCTTTCAGAGTCATGTTCATGGCAATGGATACGGTCTAGTGGGTTACAGTCTTAGGAGGATAACTTAGCTCTCAATCCTATAGTTTGCTTTAGCAGCTGGAGCTCTTCAGAGAATTGCCTAACTGTACTCAGATAGCATCTGACCCTTATCCCATGTGCTTCTGTCATTGCTGTTGTGATTAGATTTCTGTCACGTGAGCACCATGGGACAAAACAAGCTTTATTTGGATAGATAAATATCACAACTTATGTGTTTTTTTTTTTTTGACACAGAGTGTAGTTCTGACTGGCCTAGAACTCATAGTATAGACCAACTGGCCTCAAGCCCACAGAGGTCCTCCTGCATTGCTCCCAAGTGCTAGGATTAATGGCATGAATTTCGTATATGCTAATAGTAGATGTTAACTAAGCCTTGGGCTGTCAAGGTGGCCAGTAAAGATGCATTCAGCCAAACTTGACAACCTGAATCCAGTCCCTGAAGCCCACATGATGGATGGAGAGAACTGGCCCCTTCCAGGTGACCTCCAACTCCACATAGGACTGCAGGCAAGATAGTGAATGGGGCAAAATGCCTGCAGCTTAAAAAAAAGAAGTGTTTTAAAGACATACACAGTCCTCTGTCCTCCCTGGAACCCTGCAGCTCTGCTTCTGTGGGCTTTGTGCTTTCTGTTGTCCTGTAGGGAAGAACAGACACCATTGTGTTGGACAATTCTAAGACTGGCCTCCTTGTTGAATGCCCTTGTCCTGTCACTCACTGCTTGTGAAGACACTCCCCTCCTTTAAGGGAGTGACCCAGAAGTCCCATAAAACTTGCTGCCAGTGGGAGTTAGCTTCCCACTGAGAAACAGCGAGGACAGAACAGTGATAACAAGTAATAACGTCCCTAGAGTTTACAAATTCACACTTGGTGTCCTCTTGAATTAGACCATGAGCTTTCTGTGTGCTACGTCGTCGTACATCAGATCCCAACATGGCCCGACACTTAGTAGACACCCTGACTTTTCGCTCTTTTCTTTTTCTTTTTGAGACGTGTTTGATGTTTTGTTTTTTGAGACAGGATCTCACTGTGTAGCACATGGTCAGTTGACCATGCTATCCTCCAACTCACACAGATCTGCCTGCTTCTGCCTCATGAATGCCAGAACTGAGTTAGTTTTTAAATTATTTTTTATTTATTTGTCAGTTGGTCTTTGTATATCTATACCATATGTGTGGGGCTGTCTATGAGGCCCAAAAAGGGAGGCCCATAAAACTTAAGTACAGATTCTTTTAACCACCTACCGTAAGTGTCGGCTTATGCCGTAAGTGCCAATTCAGGTACTCTGATGGTGACAAGGGCTCTTACCAAATGAAGCGCCTCTCCAGCCCTGAGACTTTTCATAAATTGGATGGGTATAAACTACATTAACAAATGGAAAATTAAGTGCAAAAAAAGTAACCTAAATCTCTTCACTACTTCTCTACAAAAATCTAAGTTTTAATCAAAGTTAGAGGCTGAGGTTTTTAAAGAATGAAGAGAAACTGAGACAGGAAAAATATTGATGAAAAATAAGTAAAATGACTATGGTAGTTATAAGCCAAGAGACATATACCTTGAAACATATGTTATGTGAGATCATATTCTAAAGTGTAGACTATATTCCTTACCGTGAAATAATTATGCTTATCATCATCTGAAAATGAACAAAAATGTATAGGGCTCAGATACAGGTCAAATTAAACCTCTGGGGCAAAGGGTGTCAACCAAAAGAAACTTGGTGGAAAAGACACTGAGAGAACATGATGTTGCCTGCTACAAATAAACACAGCATGTTGTCCTCCCCAGACGGGACAGGACCCCATACTGAATATGTAGCTAAATGGGACTAGGCAAACTGAAACAAAGTTAGAATAATAATGGAAGTGTTTTAGGATTGCCAAGGGGCAGACCTAGGAATGTTAGTAATGATATCTTTTAAGTAACATTAAAATACAAGCCTATGAGAAAACGTGACTGTAAAGGTTGTCGTAACCTGTAGAGAAGTCTAAAAGATCTATAAGGATCATGAGAGAAGACCTGGGTGGAGAAGAAGGTGAGTGCATGGTGAGGCCATGAAGTCCCAACAGTCTGTGAAAATTGCCAGACTCTAATATTTGCATTATTAAATGCATAGGCCAAGGATAGCTGAGACAATCTCAAGAACAAAGTTAAAAGCTGTCATTTCTAAAGCCAGGTGATGCTGGCACAGGCTTTTAATCCCAGCACTCAGGAGGCAGAGGCAGGTATACCTCTGTGAGTTCAAGGCCAGCCTACTCTACTGATCAAGTTCCAGGACAGCCACGTATACAGAGAAACCCTGTCTTGGAATTTTCATTTCTAGATAGTCTATCTAAATCTACAATTAGCACAGTGTGGTATCTGCTGAATGATAATAGAATACAGTCCCACATAATTAATTGCTTGGTTTTGGTTTTGGTTTTGGTTTTTCGAGGCAGGGTTTTTCTGTATTGTTTTGGAGCCTGTCCTGGAACTCGCTCTGTAGACCAGGCTGGTCTCGAACTCTCAGAGATCTGCCTGCCTCTGCCTTCTGAGTGCTGGGATTAAAGGTGTGTGCCACCAACGCCCGGCTTAATTGCTTGATTTTTATCAAAAGTAGCAATGCATAACAGGAAAAAAGATGCTCATTTTATCATTCAGTTGGGTAACTGTATATAATCAGTTAAAGTAAACCTTTCTTCACTCATATACACAAATCAATTCCATATAAATTATAGATATAAATGTGAAAAATAAAAAGCTCTAGAAGTAATATGATTTTAGAATAGTAAAATTTCTTATCTTCTATGTAAAATATAACCTATTAAGAAGAATGACACTTATACAATAAAATTGGAGATTTCTTATCCATACAAAAAATAGCAAGCTAAAATGACACACACTGAATGAGGAAAGATTTTTGGAACGTTCTGTACTCACAAGACTCATAGGCAGAATGTATAAAAGACTACAGTGAGTATAAAAGTGTGGATCAGTTACGCCGTGAGGGCTAAAGCCAGAGAAGCAGAACCAAGTAAAGAGGTCTAAAGAGGCCTGTTGCGAAGCACTGATTTAAATTATATGGGCTCGGCTAGGCAAATCTAATACTCGTAGGACAGGCTATAAAGAACAGACTAAAAAACACAAAAAAAGGGCTAACACCAGTATCCACGATGATTGATCAAATGCCACCATGACTATCTAGATTGTCTCTCTCAAAAAAACTGCTGAATAAGATATCACAGCAATACTGATAGCAATTTTCAATAAATTTTTATTTAAATTAAAAACAATCTTATTTTACATACTAATCCCTGTTACCTCTCCCTCCCACCCTCCCATGCCTCCCCAACCCCCCATCCCACCTCCCATCCACTCCCCAGGGAGGGTGAAGCCTCCCATGGGGGATCACCAAAGTCTGTCATATCATTTGGGGGCAGGACCTAGGCCCTCCCCCCATGTTTGATAGAAATTTTTAATTGAACAACTTCAGACTACAGGTAACACATCAAAAAGATTATCAGTGGGCTAGGAAGATAGCACACTCAATAAGGAACTTGACTTGCAAACATGAGGACCTAAGTTTAGTCTCTAGAACCCATATTAATAAAAATAAAGGCTGAGGCATTGACTCAGAAGTTAAAGGCACTGGTTGTTCTTACAAAGGGCCCGGGTTCAATTCCCAGCACCCACATAGGGGTTCATAATCACCTAGAACTCAAGTTGCGGGGGCTCCAGTGTCTTCTTCTGACCGCCAACTATACAGGTGTACACATAACTTACATACAGACAAAATGTTCACTGTCTTCTGACCTCCAACTATACATGTGTACACATACTTATATACGGGCAAAATACTCACTATCTTGTGACCTCCAACTAACTATACAGGTGTACACATACTTTTACATACGGGCAAAATACTCACTGTCTTCTGACCTCCAACTATACGGGTGTACACATACTTACATACGGACAAAATACTCACTAGAAATAAAATGAGCAAATGTAATAAAAATGTTTAATGTAATGAGTATGATATCATATGCTTTTAATCTTTATGAAGTTGTCCTCTGACCTCCACACACGCACACACATGTGCATGTACATGTGCACCCTCCTGTACATGAACATACACAAATATACACACAAAACACAGAGCAAAATAGTGCAATAGGCTTTCATAAATAAAAGACATCAAATGGACAATAAAATGCAAATGTACATTTAGACTTTTAGATACAACTGCATGCATCAGAGTAGCTAAAATTAGATACATTACCAAGGGTTGGTAAAGTTTTATATGAGCTAAAAATTCCCATATCTACAAAAGTTAAGCATACGTAGATTCTATGACGCAGTAATTCTAGACCAACAAATTGTGTATGTGTTACTATCACAGTATTTTTTGATTAATTATACACATTTTTTTGTCTTTTGAGACAGGGTTTCTCTGTGTAGCTTTGGAGCCTGTCCTGGAATTCACAGAGATCTGACTGCCTCTGCCTCCCAAGTGCTAGGATTAAAGACGTGTGCCACCACTGCCAGCTTTAATTGTAACTATTTCATTTTGAGCTGTATAACATGCTTGTTCTGTCATGTGCCTTCAAGGTAGGCTTCACTCTTCTGGTTTTTTACGATTTCTAAGTTTATGAAGCTGAGTCTAAACTGACACTGTGTCAGTACTCTGCCATGATTGGTGAGGGACTGTACAAAACTGTGGGGTATGTCTGCTCTGTCTGGCTCTTACTCACCTGTCCTTAAATTATCTGTATCATCTCTGAGGATTGGCATTGTTAGAATGAGGTCTTAGTTAAGTGGCCATAGAGAAAGCATAGGAAAATCATGTGAGGAGCACCCATGTGCCACAGCGTACCCTAAATGGTAAAACATCCTGTCTGAGAACTGGCTCAGATACTGTTTGAGATGCATAAATCACTTCCCTGGGCACTCTAGGACACCGCAGAAATGAAAAGTGCTGCTGAAGGGTGGTGCCAACCGCTTGCCCTGGGATTGCTTTCAAGATAATTGAACTTATATAAAGTATATGACCCTCTAACACACAGTGGTGCCTTGAATAAAGTTCCATACCTAATTTTTTTATGTCAAGTGGAATCCTATACGATCTTCCCGCACACCAATAACACGCTTTGTTATTGGCATTCCCCATATTCTGCTCCACAGCAGGAACTGTGCCATGTATAGAACTTAGAGGAAAACTAATAGAAGACTGCTGGCCAAATAGAGGAAATGCATAGAACTTTCTACACTGTTTGACAGTAATTTGAAATTTTGAGTGGATTCATATTACCTACTCAAATTTCACTATATTTTATATTGACATTTGTTAAGATTCTACTGTTACAAGAAGAAAGCAAGTTGTTGAAAATAAGTGGAGAAACCTGTTAGAGCAGAAAAGAATAATCTCGGGATCTGCAGGAATGAAGTACACCGAGCAAATGATTGTAAGTATGGTCTTAGCAAACTCTCCTTTAGTAATAGAGAACTATTGAGAGACAGATGCTTTTGGTGTAAACTGTTCCTCAACATCAGTGTGAATGTAGCCAAAGCCATTCATGATACAATCTTAGAATCTTATGCTAGTAGCTTCCTGTACTTATTTGCTGTATTTGAATGAGTTCATGCAATCAGTTACCAGTGAAGGTGTCTTACTACCTTTAAGCAATTATTCCCGGGGCTAGTGAGATATTAAGAACACTGACTGCTCTTCCAGAGGACCCAGGTTCAATTCCCAGTGCCTACATGGTGGCTCACAACCATCTCTAACACCAGTCTCAGAAGACCCAAGCCTTCTGGCCTGTAAGGGCACCAGGCACACAAGTGGTACACACACATTTAGGTAAAAACACCCATATACATAATTTAGTTTTTTTCCAAATAAGAAAAAGTATTCTTTAACTTACTATTTATAGATAATTCTGTAGAGAAGCCATTTGCAGCAAAATTCCCTGAAGTTATTTAAATATTCAATAAAGGGCAGGAGGAAAGACAGTGTGGCAGGGGATGACACGATTGTATGTTGTACTGCATTTTTTTAAAAGACATTTTCCATCCAGAGACCTTTTTATTTTAAAAAATTTATTTTTCATTTTACATACCAACCCCAGTGCCCCCTCCCTCCCCTTCTCCTGCCCCCCCAGCCTCCTCCCCTTCCCACCCCCCCATACATTCCTCATAGGGGGTAAGGCCTTCCTTGGGGAGTCAACAAAGCCTGGCTACCAAGTTGAGGCAGGACAAAGCCCCTCCCCCCCTGCATGGCACAAATAATAAAAGCCCAGAGACAGACATTGGGATTCAAACTGAAGATCAGAGCAGCCAAGCCAATAAAGAGTTCTTACCTCTACCAAAACTAAAACCAAAGGTGAAGGTGGGATCCTCTCCTCAGCATGACTGTAGACTGCAATGCTCTCCACCAAAGCTCAGACTGCACTGAAGCTGCCTTATATTCTCTCTAGTGCTGAGATTAGAGGCATGAGCTCTGTTTCTCTTTTAGACTGATTCAGTCTCATGTAGCCTTGGATGGCCTTGAACTCATAGGGATCCATCTGCCTCTGTCTCCTGAGTCCTAGAATTAAAGGTGTGTGCCACCACTGCCTGACTTTTATGGCTAACTGGTGGCTTAGCTCTTCATTCTGATCTCCTGGCAAACTTTATTTGTTAGATTACAAACAATATATCACTACATCCCTGAATCAAGGCTGAGCAAGGTATCCCACCGTAGGGAATGGGCTCCAAAAAGTCAGTTCATGCCCCTGGATTAGGTCCTGGTGGCACTGTCAGCTACACCCCTAACAGATCAAGTCACAGATCTGTCATCCACATTTAGAGGGTCTAGTTCAGTCCCATGCAGGTTCCCCAGCTGTCAGTCCATAGTCTGTGAGCTCCCACTAGCTCCAATCAGCTGTCTCTGGTTTTCCCCATCATGGTTTTGACCACCCTTGTTCATATGGCCTCTCCTCCAGGAGCTCAGCCCAGTGCTTGGCTGCGGGTCACTGCATCTGCTGCCATCAGTTACATGGAGGGTCCCATGAAGGGAAAATAGTTAAAAATCTCCTGAGTAAACTGGGGGTGGGGGGGTAGAAGGGAGAGGATAGGGGATAGGAATATGAGGAATCAAGAAGCCAAGATGGGAAGGGAAGCTGGGGGAGGGACTGAGGAGGAGACAATGAAAGAGATATATAATGATAGAGGGAGCCATTATGTGGTTAGAGAGAAACCTGGTGTAGAGAAATTCTTAGGAATTCACAAGGATGACCCCAGCTAAGACTCCTAACAATAATGGAGAAGGTGTCTGAATGGGCCTTCCCCTTTAATCAGATTAGTGGCTATCCTAATTTTCATCATCTAGGGACCTTTTATAAGAAACTTTGAATTGCATAATGGTTTTGTCTTTAAGAACAGTTAAGTCGGGCGTTGGTGGCACACACCTTTAATCCCAGCACTTGGGAGGCAGAGGCAGGCGGATCTCTGTGAGTTCGAGACCAGCCTGGTCTACAGAGCGAGTTCCAGGACAGTCTCCAAAACAATACAGAGAAACCATGTCTCGAAAAGCCAAAAAAAAAAAAAAAAAAAAAAAAAAAAGAACAGTTAAACAAACCCTAATATAATTTTTTGGACAGAGATCTTTAATAAAAGCCAAAGCGTAGTAACAGTTTTAAATGATGAAAGCTGAATAAGTATAGTCTAATATGACATTTTAGAAGTCTGATTAGGAATTGTTTCTAAAATATTTAGAAATATGAGATGAATAATTAAAAGGCATTTTACTTGGAGCTTCTACTGTAAGTATCACTTCTAATGTTTTAAGAACTGAATTAGGGTGCCCTGTAGAAAAGTTGAAAGTCTTAGCATTTGTACGGGGAGTATTTTACACACTTCTTCCCAGCTCTGGGGAGTAAATCTAGAGTTTATTTTCAGGACAAAGACTGAGCTATATCCACAGCCCAAGAGGTATTAACTTTTATAAGCATAAGGCTATTAATATAGATAACAATTATGATCTAATCTTACCAGCAAAGCAAGCCATTTACTTTGTTTGTGAAGTTGTCTTATTATCAGTGCATTATTATAGCTTAGTAATAAATATGCATGTACCTTCCATATTACAAATATAGTAATAACTAGTAAGTTCCTCTTTGGACTTCCATATTATTCCCTCCAATCATATCAAAATCTATAAAGAGAAAATATTATCTTTTATTAAAGTTATATTAAACTATATCATATTTGCTGGTTGTATCTCACATACCTTTAATCCCAGCACTTGGAAGGCAAGGGTAAGTAGATCTCTATGACTTTCAGGCTAGCCAGAGCTACATACTGGGACCCTGTCTCAAAAAGAAAAAAGAAAAGAAACATGTCTCAATTTTGAATTAACAGGTAGTTGTTACAGCCAGGAAGCACTGTAGTTTCCATATGCCTGTGCTGAGTCCCATCGCAGTTGTTTTTACTGCTCTGGGTGCGATGGCATTCCGCCCTACTGTCTGTCGAGTTTTCTTTTCCTCCTTTATACAAAGGGTGCTTCTCTTTCACATGTCTGTCATTTTCCCGTGTCCTTAGACACCTCACACGGCCTGCTACTCTTAGACTACGTGAGTGTTCTGGATCAAAATCAGATTTGAAAACTGGAAATGGTTATCACTATTTTGTTTGGTTTTGTTCTTAATTCTAGAGGCTGATGAAACATTCAGTTGCTACAGCAGTGGTCCTTGTCACCATGTCTTAGGAAATGTGTTTTATTGTGCCATCTTTTGTCCAGTTCTACGTGCAAAGAATGTAAAAGAGATAATGAGAAGTAAAAAGTCACACTTGCCATTTTACAGCAGATTTTCAGTCTGAGATGCCTCAAAAGTGTGACGAGGAGCTCAGGCAGGGCTGGAGCCGGAGGGGCTGTTGCAGCCGCCTGTGTCGGTTCCTCTCCAGATCAGCCTGACAGAGCTAAGGCCTGCCGGGCACCAGAGCGAGAGTGGGGGATGTCTGCCAGTAGTGTGCAATGGCTCCTTTTCTGATGACACCTTCAGATCCTGAGCAGCAAAGAGGCAGCTGCTTCTGCTTGGAGAGAACCCCCGTCCTCCGTGTCAGCCACACTCAGAAGGGGCTAGTGGCAACCGGCACGTGCAAAGCCATCTGAGTGTAAAGTGTGATGGCCTCTTAGTAGGTCTTTATTCCAAACAGCTGACTGCCCCAGCATGCTCTGTTCTTCTTGCTAGCCAAGGGACTTTTTATATTAGAAGACAACATTTTAAATATTTATTCACCATGAAAGGCTTTAATCCAGTAGTTCTTGATTTGTGCTCCAAAAGAAAAGAAAGGTGAGTTAAACTACAGTGACAACTAAAAATGCAGGCAACAGTTAAAGGTTCTTTAAAGACCATGACCATATCATGAATTTTAGACGTGGAATTAATTTGTATTTAACCTGTTTTTATAGCATTTTGGACAAAGTGTCCCACTAAGTACAAGTGACCCAGCACAAGCTACAAGAGGCCCCACGAGTGCAGAAGGTGCGTGCTACTGTAAGCGTTTTCTTTTCTCTCTGTCACTGGAAATACACGACCTCACATAGTGTGTCCTGACCACAGTTCCTCTCCTCCTCCCAGGTCCTCTCTACCTCCTCTCCCATCTGAATCTTTCCCCTTTCTGCCTCACATTAGAAAGTGAATGACTCTAGCCAAGCAGTGGTGGCGCACACCTGTAATCCCAGCATTTGGGAGACAGAGGCAGGAGGATCGCCATGAGTTCAAAGCCAGCCTAGTCTACAAAGCAAATTCCAGGATAGCCAGAACTACACAAAGACCCTATTTCAAAAAAAAAAAAAAAGAAAGAAAAGAAACTGAACAATTCTAAGAGATAATAATAAAATAAAATGTAACACAATACAATATAATAAGATAAAACAAAAACTAACACATTAGGACAAAACAAAGCCAAGAGAAAGCATAACACCCTCTTATTTGCAAACTTAGGAATCCCAAAAAACATTAGAATATATATGAAAAAGGCCTATAGGTTAATATACACACATACATACACACTAAAAAAAAAAAACAAAAGGGAAAAGTCTTGCCAATATTAGGAGACAAGGACTCTCCAAGGATACCATTGTGATTGTTTTCTGTTGACCAGGTACACCTGGCCTACCCTTAAGGGTAGTTCGCCAGACAGTGGTGGTGCACACCTTTAATCCCAGCACTCCAGAGACAGAGGGAGGCAGATCTCTGAGCTCAGAGCCAGCATGATCTTCAGAGTGAGTTCTAGGACAGCCGGGACTACAAGGAGAAACCCTGTCTTGAAAGGGGCGGGGAGTAATTTGTTTACCCAGATAGAGACTGCCTTGAATGGGCATGCGTCCATGTCTTCCAGCTCTGGGACCCATCTGGTGCAGACCCATGCAGGCCCTGCGCTCGCTGCTCCAGGCTGTGAGCCCACATGTGCATCACTCTTGTTGATCTAGATGACCTTGTTTTCTGGGTGTCCTCCATCGCCCCTGGCTCTTTCATTCTTGTTGCTTCTTCTTCTGCAGGGTTCCCTGATCATTGAGTAGAGGGATTTAATGGAGACAGCCGATTAGAGCCGAGTGCTCCAAGGTCTCACTCTGCATAATATCTGGCTGTGGATCTCTGTTTGTTCCCTCTGATGATAGCTGAGAAAGACCTGGTCTACGACTGTAGCAGTATGTCATAAGGAGTCATTCCATTGCTACAGTTTGTTTTACTTTTGTTTTAAAACAATAGTATTAGGTTTCACTGTAGGCCCCTGGGGCAATCTAGTCTCACGCTCTTGATCACCCAAGCACTGGGTAGTGAGGCTTAAGTCAAATCAGATATTGCTGGGTTACTGCAGCAAGCTTCGGGCCACCACTGCACGGGTGTGCCCTGCACACAGGACACTGTTGTAGATCAGAGGCCTTGTAGCTGGGTTGGTGTTTACATTCCCCTCTGCTGATCCTCACAGTACCTTCCTGTACCAAAGACACTAGCACCTAGTGGAGACGGCAGGCTCTAGGTAGGCACCAGTTGGAATTCTCCACATTCAGTGAGTCATGTAGGTTTGCCTGCAGCAATGAGGCCTTGCATCAGTTTGTAGAGAGCAACCAATAGTCTTGCCAACAGCCTGGGTTGTTTGGGGATTCCTGTGGGACCCCTTTGGATATCGTCTCAATCAGATAAAACTGCATTTGGTGACAAGAAATGTCCAGTTGTGTCTCTTTCCCCCAGTGTTTGGTCATTTCATTTAGATCACCTTCATATATGTGTATATTTTAGGAGGCTTCTACTGTACTAGATTTCCATACTACCCCTCAAATGGCCCTTAATTTTAGCTAAGTATTCCCTCCCTCTCTCCACTTGATTCTCTCTGTCATCCATCCATAGCTATCTATTCTATTTCCCTTTCTTAGGGAGCTCTATCTGCCCCTGCCCCCAGCCAGTTCCTTACTTTATCCTGACTCCTGTGGTTATATCTTGGTTATCATTTACTTAACATCTAATATACACATATAAGCAAATACAAACCAGTTTTTCTTTCTGAGTCTGGGTTACATCATTTAGGATGACTTTTTTCTAGCTCCTCCATTTATCTGTGAGTTTCATTATTTAATTTTTTAATTGTGTAATTACATCACATTTTCTTTATCCATTCATCTGTTGAGGGACATCTAGGTTGCTTCCAGGTTCTGGCTCTTATGAATATAATAGCAATGAACATGGTTGAGCCAAGTGTCTTTGTAGGAAGATAAAGCATTCTCTGTGTATATGCCCAAGAGTGGTGTATCTGGATCTTGAGGTAGAAAGATTGCCAGCTTCCTGAGGAACTGCCGCACTGATTTCCATATTGCTGTACAACTTTGCACTCCCACCAGCAATGTGTGGATGTTCCCCTTATTCTACATCCTCACCAGAATGAGGCTGTCACTTATGTTATTGACCTTAGCCATTCTGATAGGCATAAGATGAAATCTCAAAGTTTTGATTTGCATTCCCCTGATGACAAAGGATGCTGGACATCTCTTTAAGTGTTTCTTAGCCATTTGAGAATCCTCTGTTGAGAATTCTGTTTATATTTATATCCCATTTTTATTGGGTTATTTGTTTTCTGAATATCTAGTTTTTTTGAGTTCTTTATATATTTTGGATATTATCCCTCTATCAGATGTGTAGTTGATAGAAACCTTTTCTCATTCCATAGACAGCAGCTTTGTCTAAATGATGTCCTTTCCCTTACAGAAGCAAAGGACTTAATTAATTGTTGATCTTAATGCCTTCGCTAACAGTATTCTGTTCATAACATCTTTTCCAGTTTAAGTCTATCCCCCACTTTCTTTTCTGTGAGGTTCAGTGTATCTGGTTTTATCCTGAGGTCTTTGATGCATTTAGAATTGAACTTTATGCAGAATGATAGATATGGATAGGCATATAGATATAGATAATTTGCATTCTTCTGCATGCAGACATCCAGTTTGACCAACACCATTTGTTGGAAATGCTTTCTTTTTCCATCGCATATTTCTGGATTCTTTATCAAAAATCAGGTATGTATAAGTGTGTATTTATGTCTGGATCTTCAATTTGATTCCATTGATCAATGAGTCTGTTTTTGTGTCAATACCATGTGATTTTTTATTACTTTAGCTCTGTGGTGCAGCTTAAAATCTAGGATAGGGATACCTCCAGCAATTCTGTTATTATTAAGGACTGTTTTAGCTATCCTGGATTTTTTGTGTGTTTCTATATGAAGCTGAAAAATCATCCTTTCAAGATCTGTGAAGGACTGTGTTGGAATTGTAATGGAAATTGCATTGAATCTTTAATCCTACCAGTCCATGAGCATGGGAGAGCTTTCCATCTTATGATAGCTTCATCATTTCTTCCTTAGATGTCTTAGAATTTTTATCATACAAGTCTTTCACTTGCTTGGTTAGAGTGATGCCAAGATATATTAGTAGAGGCTATTGTGAAAGCTGTCATTTACCCGATTTCTCTCTGTCTATTTGCCATTTGTATTTATGAGGGTTTCTGATTTTTGAGTACTTTTTAATACATTTTTATTTAAATTAAAAACTATCTTATTTTACATGCCAATTCCAGTTCCCTCTCCCTTCCGTCCTCCCATGCCCCCCACAAACCACCCATCCCACCCTCCATCCATTCCCCAGGGAGAGGGAGGCCTCCCATGAGGGATCTTCAAGTTTGTCACATTATTTGGGGCAAGACCTAGGCCCTCCCCCATGTGTCTAGGCTGAGAGAGTATCCCTCCATAGGGAATGGGCTCCCAAAGCCTGTTCATACACTAGAGATAAATACAGGTTCCACTGCCAGAGGCCCCATAAATTGCCAAGGCCTCCTAACTGACACCCACATTCAGGGACCTGGTTTGGTCCTATGCTGGTTCCCCAGATGTCAGACTGGGGTCCATGAGCTCCCACTTGCTCAGGTCAGCTGTTTCTGTGGGTTTCCCAGCAGGTGATACAAAGGGCACATCTCAACATAATAAAGGCAGTTTACAGCAAGCATCAACCTAAATGGAGAGAAACTCCAAGCAATTCCACTAAAATTGGCAGCAAGATAAGGCTGCCCACTCTCTCCAAAGCTTTTCAATATAGTACATAAAGTCTTCACTAGAACAGTAAAACAAATGAAGAAGGTCAAATAGCAAGGGGAGGAGTCCGAATATCTTGATTTGCAAATAATATGATAGTATACTTAAGCGACCCTAAAGATTCCTCTGGAAACTCCTACAGCTGATAAACACTTGAGCAACATAACTGGATGCAAAAATAACTCTCCTGAGTGAGGTAACCTAGACACAGAAAGACAAACATGGTATGTACTCACTCATAAGTGACTATTAGACATAGAGCGAAGGATAACCAGCCTACAATCCACAACCCCAGAGAAGCTGGGAAACTAGGAGGCCCCAAAAGAGACATACATGGTCCTGTGGAGAAGGGGAAAGGTACAAGATCTCCTGAGCAAATTGGGAGCATGGGGAGAGGGGAGAGGGTGTTAGGAGAAAGAGAAGGGGAAAAGAGGAGGGGAGAGGAGGACATGAGGGAGCAGGAAGATTGAGTTGTGGGGGGTGGGACAGAGCCATTATAGGTTTAAAGAGAAATCTGGCACTAAGGAAATGTCCAGGGATCCACAAAGAGGACCCCAACTAAGAATCTAAGCAATAATGGAGAGGCCACCTTAAATGTTCTTCCCCTATAATGAGACTGATGCCATCCTAGAGCCTTTACCCAGTAGCTGATGGAAACAGAAGCAGAGACTCCCAACTGATGGGAGTTGTCTTTCTGTATATATGCTTCTCTTATTGGTTGATGAATAAAGCACTGTTTGGCTAGTGGCCAGGCAGGAAGGATAGGCATAGCTACCAAAGGAAGAGAATTCTGGGAAATGTAGGCAGAAAGGAGTCCACATGTAAGCCCGGGAAGAAAGGACCCAAGATAGGCGTTCTCTGCATAGATTAGTAGTTATGGGTTAACAATTAAGACAGAGCTAACCAATAAGAAGCCCAGGTTTCATAATTAATATAGAGTCTGTGGGGTTATTTGGGGCTCGGGCCGTGGGACCTGCCAGGCCAGAAAACTCATGCTTACACACAGCCAAGCATTGAACCGAACTCCTGGAATCCAGTTGCAGAGAGGGAGGAGTGATGAACAAAGGGGTCAAGACCAGGCTGAAGAAACAGCTGACCTGAACAAGATGGAGCTCATAGACCCCAGACTGATGGCTGGGAAACCAGCATAGGACTGATCCAGACCCCATGAATGTGGGTGTCAGTGAGGAGGCCTTGGAAATCTATGGGGCCTCTGGTAGAGGATCAGTATTTATCCCTAGTATACGAATGGACTTTGGGAGCCCTTTCCACATAGAGGGATGCTCTCTCAGCCTAGACACACGGGGGGGTGGGGGGGAGTGGAGGGCCTAGGCCCTGCTCCAAAGGATATGACAGACTCTGGAGATTCCCCATGGAAGGCCTCACCCTCCCTGGGAAGCAGAAAGGGGATGGGATAGGGAGTTAGTGGGAGACAGGAGAGGAGGGGAGGGAGAGGGAACTGGGATTGACTTGTAAAATAATCTTGTTTCTAATTTAAATTAAAAAATAGAGAAAAAATTTGTTTCTTATATGCATCAGAAGGATTAATCAAGCCTGTCTTCACATTCATTCTGTTACCCTGTGTCTTTTTATTGGGGACTTGAGACCTTTGGTATTGAAAGATATCAATGGCCAGTGTATTGATTCCTGTAATTTTGGTGGTGTTAGTAGCAGTGGTATACATGTTTGAAAGAGAGAGAGGGCGGGGGGAGTCTTCTTTAGTCTTTTCTGACTGGGATTATTTATTCTCTGTTTTCTTGGATATAGTTAACCTCATTAGGTTGGAGTTAAGCATCTAGCACCTTCTGTAGGGCTGGATTTATATATAGATATTGATTAAAATTGCATTGTTTCTCCATCTATAATGATTGAAAACTGTGGTGGGTATAGTAGTCTGGGCTGGCATCAGAATCTGAAGCACATCTGTCCAGGCCCTTCTGGCTTTTAGTGTCCATAGAGAAGTCAGTGTTACTCTAATAGGTCTGCCTTTATATTTTGTCTTTCTCTCATGTATTTTTTAATATTCTTTCTTTGTTCTATAAATTTAGTGATTTCATTATTGCGTGCTGAGGGGACTTTCTTTTCTGGTCCATTTTCTTCAGTGTTCTGATTGCTTCTTGTGCCTTCATAAAGAAGGCATCTTACTCTTTGCGTTAAGGAAATTTTCTTCTGTAGTTTTGTTAAAAAATGTTTTCTGCCCTTTTGACCTGAGTTTCTTCTTCTTCCTCTATTTCTATTATTCTTAGATTTGGTCTTTTCATAGTATCCCAGATTTCCTAGATGTCTTGTGCCAGGAATGTTTTAGACTTAGCATTTTCTTTGGTTGAGCTATTCATTTCTTCTATTGTGTCTTGAAGGTCTGAGATGTCTCTTCTGTCTATTCTGCTGGTAAGGCTTGCCTCCTGAGATTTCCTCTTTGAATTTCTAAATAATTTTTCATCTCCAGATTTCCCTTAGTTTATGTTTTCTTTATTGATTCTATTTCCACTTTCAGGTCATAAATGGTTTCCTCATTTCCTTCCACTGTTTGTATTTTCATAGATTTCTTTGAGGGATTTATTCATTTCCTCTTTAAGGAACTCTATTATATTCATAAAGGCTATTTTAAGGGCTTTGTCTTGTAGTTCAGTGATGTTGCAATACTCAGGTTCTATTATGGTAAGATTCTGGCCACTGGTGAAGATATACTGTCCTGGCTGTTCTAGACTGTGTTTTTCACTGGAGTCTAGGCTTCTGGCTTTGGAAAGATTTTAATTCTAGGTACTGATATTTGGTCTTGTCTTTGTTGAGTGTGTGTTTTATTCCTTGGTTTCTCTTGCCCTGTCTGGTCCTTAGGAGCGGGTAGTAGCTGTTTGTTTACTGCTAGGTGTGTCTACTGGGAGTTCTGTGTAGAGTGTGTTTCAGGTATTGAGAGCTGACATGTAGGAATGGGGATGGGCTAGGAGAGTCAAGGCCTTAGGCTGTGCTGGAGGTAAGAAAGCAGGTGTTCCTCCAGGATCTGCTTAGTCCCCTGGGAAGGGGCATGAGGAGAGGCCTCAGCAGGTAGCCTGCTACAGAGTTGAGAATGATATGGGGCATTGGTTGTGGAGGAGAGGAGGGCCAGTGAAGATTTGAAGTTCACCTACCTGCTTAGCTGGCCTCCTTGCTCCCCATCAGGCTTGGCTGGCAGGTTCCCAGAGAATGCGAGCTGGAGCTGGGGAATGGAATAACAAGACTAGTAGGAAGGAAGGTTGGAGGTGACCTCTGTGATCCACTAAAGATGGGGTAGGTGGGGGCAGTGAAGCTGCAGCAGGTGCTGTGCTACAGAAATGGAGGTGGGCTGGGGGACTGGACAGAGGAGCAGGAGAGGTGGAGGTCTGTAGTTAGCCTACAGGATGCTGCTGGGAACCTGATGTGGCTCTTTGTCCCTGATGGTTCGTTCTTTCTCTTTCCTTGTTGTTGTAATTTTGGTTTGGGGGGTTTGTTGGTTTGGGTTTTTTTTTCTTGAGACATGGTTTCTTTGTGTAGCCTTAGCTGTACAGCTGGCCTCAAACTCAAAATTGCTGTGTTTTCTCAAGTACTTGTATGTTGTACACTTACATAGACCTGAACTCTCCAGTTAGTTGTTATTTGGAATACTAACACAATCATTAAGCATCTTTCTACAGCAAACTATCTCCTGACTTGTCAAGTGTTTCTGTAGGATAGATTCTTAGAACCAAGATGGCCTCAAACTCATAGAGATCCGCCTGCCTCTGCCTCCCAAGTACTGGGATTAAGGGTGCGTGCCAATATTTTCTTAACTGGAGGTAAGAAAATACCAAATATAGAGAACCCTGAAAATTAAAATGTACTCTGAGCTGGAGAGATGGCTCAGGAATTAGAAATACTGGCTTTTCTTTCGTTCAATTACAAGCACTCATATGGGGGTTCACCATTAGCTGTAACTATAGTCCAAGGGGATTCACCACCCTCTCCTGGCCTCCTTGGGAACTGCAAGCACATGGTATGCAAATACACTTACAGGCAAAACCTCATACAAATAAGTAAATAAATATTATGCCAACAATATGTCTGCCTAAAACTTGAACAAGGACACCACCAACAGATATACTAACATGGGATGGGAAAGAAATCTCATGGGTCCCATCCCTAAACAAAGAACAGGCAATTAAGAAATGCTGAGAGGGGGGAAATTAGTCTTCCCCAGGGATGAGCCCCCGATTGGATAGTGGGTATGTAGGTAGGTGGGTGGGTGGATGGATGGATGGATGGATGGATAGATGGATGGATGGATAGATAGATGATATATAGATGCAACACTAAATTGATGCACCGGGGTGTGTCTGTGTGTGTGTGTGTGTGTGTGTGTGTGTGTGTGTGTGTGTGTGTGTGTCTGCCTGTGTGTGTAACAATAACCAAAAGAACTTGGGAATCAGAAGCAGGCAAATCTCTGAGTTTGAGGCCAGCCTGGTCTACAGAGTGAGTTCCAGGACAGCCAAACTTATTACACAGAGATGTCCTGTCTCAAAAAAAAAAAAAAAAACCAGGAGGTGATGGCATGCACCCAGCACTTGGGAGGCAGAGGCAGGAGGATCTCTGTAAATTTGAGGCCAGCCTGATCTACAGAGCAAGTTCCAGGACAGTGAAAGCTGTTACACAGAGAAACTCTGTCTCAAAAAAATAAAACCAACAACAAAAGAAGAAATCAATGAAACAAAATGGACAGTAAGGGAGTGCTTGCTGAGTTGTGTTTGTGACTTGAGTACATGCAGACTTAACTTCAGTAAGTCCACAGACAGAACTGTTCCCAAAGACAAAGTGACCAAAGGGTCAGTGTCAGTCTCTGCAGTTTCAGGGAGTCCCTCTGAGTGCTTGGTGGCAGAGAACCTAGTGCCTCCTTCAGTACCTGAAGATGAGATTCTGACTGCCATAAACAGCAAGCCGCTACAGAAACCAGATCTGTCCTTGAGTAAGACCCAGCCAGCCAACTTCTGCGCCGTGTCAGCTGAGGAGCAGAAAGTCCTGCAGTCCCTCCGTCGCCTCAATGAAAGGCTGTACTGTAAGTCTGTGGGCACACCTTCTGTAAGACAGGAACGCTCGGTTCATAAGCTTATGTCAAATCGTTATTTAATTGAAAACTGTGAAGTAAAAACACAAAATATATCTAGTTATCACCTTACTAAATCACCCAAAAATTGAGAATATTGTTAATGTTTTAGATTATTGCAGATACCCCATCTTTTATAATGATACCAACTTTTATACTTTATTCTGTTTTAGAAGTATCTGAACGTAAGCTGGGCATGGTGGTACACACCTTTAATCCCAACACTTGGGAGGCAGAAGTAGGCAGATCTCTGTGGTTGAGGCTAGCCTGGTCTACAAAGCAAGTTCCAGGACAGTCAGTGCTACACAGAGAAACCCCATATTGAAAAAAAGAAGAAAAGAAAAATATGAACATACCACTTATGTTTTAGCAATAAACATGACCCGTCATGAAAATAACTTTATCGAGTATTTTTCATTCTCAACTTTGAATGCACACACAGAGTTCTTAAAGCTAAGCGCATGGAACAATGCCTGTAACATCAGCACAGGAGGGACTAAGGCAGGAGCAGCTGTGCGAGCTGAAGACCAGCCTGGGTGGCCTATCAAGCCCCGACCAGCTCGAGAAGATCCTGTCTTTAAGGGAAAAAGAAAAATATTTCTTAACGTGGAAAATAAGGATAGAGCCACAGTAAGCTTTCAAGCTGAAGGTATTTGATGAGTGGAATAATTAAAAGGGAACAATACCTGGTAGTTTCAGAAAAGATACTCCACCATTAAGTTGCACCATCAAAAAAATCTATGCCTTTCGACAACAGAAAGTGGGGAGGTTTTTAAAACGACAAAACTTTACATTTCTTCAACTTCAGTACTGAGCAGCCGAGGAAGGGAGGAAACATCTCTGGTACTCTAGAAATGGAGCCTAGTGTGCACCTCATGGTAGTTACAGCCCGTGTTCAACCTAGTGTGCACCTCACGGTAATTACAGCCCGTGTTCAGCCTAGTGTGCACCTCATGGTAGTTACAGCCCGTGTTCAACCTAGTGTGCACCTCACGGTAGTTACAGCCCGTGTTCAGCCTAGTGTGCACCTCACGGTAGTTACAGCCCACGTTCATAGTACCTGCGTGGTCTATAACGACTGAGGCAAAGGACGTAATTGAAAATGATCTCAAGCTGCTAACACCTCCAGAATAATTGAGAAAATATATATTAATATCCCTTTTGATACTGAGATGTGGTCTATATTCCAATCTTCAAAGAATTATCACAAATGAGATCTAAGGAAAATGAATAGTCAATAATCACCAAAAACTAATCCATAAAGAAAAAAATCCATTACAAAATCAAAAGAGGGATGGAGAGAGAGCTCAGAGATTGAGAGCATTGGCTGCTCTTTCAGAGGTCCCGAGTTCAATTCCTAGCAACCACATGGTGACTCACAACCATCTGTAGTGAGATCTGATGCCCTCTTCTGGTGTATAGATAGAACACTGTATACATAAAATAAATGAATACCTTTAAAAGAAAATCAAAAGAAATCACAATACATACTAAATAGACCCCAGACACAAAAAAAACTATAAAATAATTGTCTTATATTTTAAATAATCAGAAATATGTCTCAAAATCCAGTAAGGAAATATGACTTAGCCTATGAGTAGAAGATAAAAACAAATGTAAGATTCAGCTGGTTGTCTGTAAACAGCAGATTATAGATATCTGAAGAAATAATTGGTAGACTAGGATATCAGTCAGAAAAGCCTCTCCAGAGTGCGGTCAAAGAGGTGAAGGACAGCGTCAGTGACAAGGGACAGCGTCAGTGACAAGGGACAGCGTCAGTGACAAGGGTGGAAGGCCTGAGAAGGGGCCACGGCCTGCCAGCGTAAAGCCCGCTACCAGCATGCAGACTGAAAAGCCCAAGTAAGGAAAGAGGAATTCCTGGGGACTGGACAGATGGCTGCCCTTCCACAGGGCCTGGGTTCAAGTCCCAGTGCCTACATGGCAGCTCACAACTGTGTGTGGCCCCAGTTCCAGGGGGTCCAACACCGTCACACAGACATGCATGCAGGCAAAAAAAATTAATGTTTAAAAAATGTGAGAGGGGTCCTGAGTTCAAACCCCAGCACAGGAAGTGGGGGAAGCTGATTGCATAAGCCTGGAACTCACTATGTAGACCAGGCTAGCCTCAAACTGATAGAGTGCATGCCTGTGCATTCTGACTGTTCTCATTAAAGGCATGAGCTACCACAACCACCAAAATAACATTTACTTAAAACAAAAGAATAAGACAATAGGAAATATGACATTTGAATGAAGATTGTTTTTATAAAATCCCCCTTATCAGCTTCGGCTTTATATAATTGTTCCTAATCAAATTGCTTTCATTTTTGGACCTATTTACATATAAGGACTATTTCTGGGGTCAGTAGGAAAATAGTATATTCAATTTTGAATATTTTGATATTCTTTAGTGATTCTCTTTATATACGTTAACTATTTTTGTGTTGTGGTATGATTTTTCAGATGTACAAGAAGCCATTTGCAAAAACCCATCCATCAAAAATACTTTACAGTTAATACCACTTCTGGTAAGTACTTGCTAAGTTCCTCTTTTGGTTGTCTCATGTAGCCATTACTGAGGTAAAGACTTTTCGCAGGGGGCTGGGGAGCTAGCTCAGCAGTTAAGAGCACTTGTTTTTGCGAAGGATCAGAGTGGTGGTTCACAATCATCAGGAACACTAGTTCCTGGTGAGCAGATGCCCTCTTCTGACCTCATGGGAACCAGCTACACATGGTGTACATACATGTGTGCAGGCAAAACACTCATTCACACAGAATAAAATGCACAAGTCTTTTCTAATATGAGAACCTTGGGAGGTTTTGAGGGGAGAGGATAAGGGCTGAGTGCTCTGAGTTTCGAGATCTTGACAGCAGAGGAAGGTTGCTGAAGCTCCCACGCCCTTGGTCCTTCCGCTGTGAAGCAGGGCTTGCACTGTCACCCCAGGCACACAGGTTTGGAGCGTCCTTGTGGCAAGCACTTGTTTCTTACTAGCCTGGGATGTCCCTAAATTGTTACCTAATATTACCTAAATATTATGTAATTGGTAGTATTTCCAGTGATACCTTTTTCTTCCTGACAAAAATATACTGGATTCAAAATATGCAAATTTTAAGTATCTTTACTTTGATTTGTGCATTATGAGACACTGTTTAATTCAAATTTTAAGTACTTTTTTTCCTCAAAGGACATCAGAATCTATGGAGAAATGTCAATTAGTGACCTAGAAAATCAAAATTGTGACATAGGTTTCAGTGAGTTGTGAAACGTTTTACCATGATGGGTACTGACCCACTAACGATGGGTAACCATCTAGCTAAATTAGGTTCAAATGCTGCCTTAGTGAATTTTTTCTTTCATTTTTCAAGACAGGGTTACTATATAGTCCTTGCTGTCCTAAAATTCACTCTGTAGACCAGGCTGGCCTTGAACTCACAGAGATCTTCCTCCCTATAGTGTGTACCACTACCACATGGCTTGAAATAAATTTAATGAATTTTAAAGAAACAACTTTATCTTTGCTCTAAAATTTATGCTAAACATTCCTGGGGCCTTACGTGACTTCCAAGTGCTTTTGTTAAAAAATAAAATGAAATGAAAAGGAAGAAGCAAAAACTTTGTGGATTTTGAGACACTTTTCATGTGGATTTTGAGACATGCGTCATGTGGTTTACCTTGACCTCTGGGTCCTCCTGCCTCTCACCTCTCACTTGCTGAGACTACAAGGTGTAGCGCCCTGGGTTCAGAAAGCTGCTCTCAAGGGTCTGGAGAGCAGTGGCTCGGTGACTGAAATGTCCGCTGCACAAGTAAGGACATAAGTTCAGATCCCAGCCCACACAAACAGGAGTGAACACAGGTAAGTCTCAGGGCTCTGCCGCCCAGCCAGTTGGCCAAAATGGTGATCTAAGGTTCAATGAGGAGACCCTGTCTCAAAAAAGAAATACTAAAATAAGTGGGAGGAGAAAAATATGCCTGAAGTCACCCTCCGGGCTCAGGTGCACGCAGACAAGCACACTTTCCTACACGCAACCACAGTCACGCACGTGCTCAACGGGAGACCCTCTGAAGCATGCTACCAAAGGCAGCCCAGAAGAGTGTGCGTCATCACAGAGAGCGGGCGGGGCACTGTGGACAGTGATGCATGTGCTCTTCTTAAAAGCCTTACTCTAGAGGTAGAATGACCGGTTCACATCTGTGGATCTGAAAGTAAGAGGACCCTCTGAACTCTCTTACAGAACAGCCACCCAAGGACCAGGCTCTCCCCTGACGTTGGATCCAGATTGCAGAAAAAATGCTGATCAACTGTGACAGTCACTACTTAGTGGAATCATTATTTTTGAGAATCCTGTAAATAAATTCTGTATTTCTGCATTTATTAATGATTTAAAATATTAGACTTTTATGTTTATAAAAGCAAATCATAATGTATGTAATCGAAATGAATTTACTAGCTTATATTTATGCTACAAATTATACTTTATTATGTATTTTCTTGATACATTTTAATGAATGAAATACTTCATTGCTTTCAATAAGCATGCTGATATAAATTTTCTCTATTTAAAAATAAAAGAGGCTATTTTATTATTCAAATTATGTATTAGGAATGATAGTGAAGCTTTGTTTTCTGAAATTCCTAATTCTAATAAATTTTTGTAAAAGTATCCAAGAAGCTTATGATTAATAACACCCCCCCACAAATAATAAAGCTATTTGTCTAAGACTTTGTAAGATCTCTGCCTTTTTATGTTACCAGGAGGTTGAGTTACTAGCTTGCATATTCAGTAATTAATATCATTTTATTCATGGGTCATTCGAAATCTCAAAAAATAAAAAAAATAACCTGACATTTTAAAAATTCATAGTAAGAGCTAGGAAGATAACTTGGCATTTTAAGAGTGCTTGCTGTGCTTTCAGAAGACTGGAGTGTGATTCCCAGGAGCCAGTTTTGGTGACTCACAACAATCAGTAGCCAAGTTGAGTTCCTAGGGATCTGACACCTTCTTCTGGCTTCCACAGGTGTGTGCACACACAAGCAAATACAGAAACACATACATGTAAACAATACTGTTTTAAAATCCAAAGGGGTCAGATGTTGGACATGAAAACTGAAACGTGCTGGGTAACTTTTCTCTAATAAGTATATTTTATTCTCCATTAGGAATATTATTCACTTGTACAACAAGACTTGTACTAGAGATTTGCTTTCTAAAATATTGAATCAAAGTCAAAAGTTACATGATCTTTCAAAAGGGTTAATAATGATAGGACCAAATGTGGTGGTGCACACCTTTAATCCAACACTTGGGAGACAGAGGCAGGTGGATCTGTGTGAGTCCGGGGCCAGCCTGGTCTACACAGCAAGTTCCAAGACACCCAGGGCTGTTACACAGAAACCCTGTCTTGAAAAGCAAAACAAGCAAAGAAATACTGTCCATCTCTCTCTGTTTTACTTCTCCAAGTACTTGTGCTTCAAACCCGCATATGGGTTACTTCAGCTAAGTTTCTTGCATCTGTTAGGATCTCTGAAGTGAGAATTACATGCTGATACAAAAAGACAGACCTCTCACTGCTGGCCAAACATCCACTCCTTAGCCCTTAGCACTGTTTATCTGCTGCTGGGACTCTGAGTCCTTCTGTCTACCATCCCACTTGCCACCTTCCCTACAATGACAGTTCATCAGACTATTTATAATTTCCCCAAATAAAGCCTTGTGTTTTATACTTCTGTTCACTGAGTGTTGGAAAGGCTACCCCACACCCTTATATCCTCCCAGTAATCATTCATTCACTGGGTTAAACTCTCTGAGGTTGAACTTCACCAGATTTCTTTTCTAATGATCATCTCTACTCTTTACTCCAAACAAATGATGTTTTTACCATGAACTGAACTTCCTTGCACATAGGTGACTCTTCTTCTTGGTCAAGAATTCCTGGAAAGTCCATATTGTCACTTGTGCGCTCTAAACAATTAAAATAGCACACCTTATAGAAGACCCAAATAATAACTACGGGAGAAAATACTCAGTCACTCTTCTGTACTAAACATGGAAAAGAAAACAGACTGTAGTGTATATGGGAAATACAATGTTAAATATTTAGCTGTGAGATCATTACGAATGTGCTGAATGAAATGTGGGGCCCCTCCTCAACCATCACAGCCCCATGAGTTGATCAGCAGGTAGGACGTCTCCATCAGGCCTCTCCACCAGCACCACCCATTGGAACCTGTCATCTGCAAGTCCCACTCTGCCACCACAAACCCAACCTCAGCCTCAGTGGTCCAGGAGGCACATACACAGCCTGCACTGACTCAACAAAGAGGTGAGAGATTGGCCTTCCAGCTGGACAGTCACATCCCTAGACCCTAAGCCTGGGGGCATATCCAGTGCCCCTCCCCCACCCGTTGCAGCCACATTTACTGGTCAGCAGGTGACACTCCTGTGGGCAGGCCATTCAACCCCACCCCACTGGATGCTGTAATCTGCCCCACAAACACAAACATCCACCATGGCATCAATGGCCCCCTGAGACACAGACACCACCCAGACACAAATACCACCTGCACAAGTAGAGAAAGAGATGGGTAGATTCCATTGCAAGGATACATGCAACAACATAAAGAGTAATATGTCACCATGAGAACCAAGTGGTTGTATGATAGCAAGACCTAAACATCCCAATGCAGATGAAGCAAAAGAAAACAACCTTAAAAACAGCTTTATGAAGATGATAGAGACCCTTAAAGAGGAAATGAAAAATTCCCTTAAAGAAATCGAGGAAAAGACAAACAAAAAATTGCAAGAGATCAGTAAATCCCTTAAAGTCAAGAAAAAATAATCAAATAGATGAAGGAAACAGTTCAAGACAGAAAATTGAAATAGAAGCAATAAAGAAAACACAAACCAAGGCTATTCCGGAAATGAAAAATCTGGGTAAATGAACAGGAACTACAGATGCAGGCATAAGCAACAGAATACAAGAGATGGAAGAGAAAATCTCTGGAATTGAAGATACAAGAGAGGAAACAGATTCATTGGTCAAAGAAAATCTTAAGTCCAACAAAGTTATAGCACATCCAGGAAATCTGGAACACCATGAAAACACCAAACCTAAGAATATAGGGATAGAGCAGAACCCACCCTCCACTCTCCTCAGACCTGAGCACCTGGCCTCATGTGAGCTTGGGTCTTCCTGAGAACCCAAACCTGCCCATCACCCCCTCCCTCAATCTCCCTGGGCCTACCCCCTGCATCCAGTGGACCCGCCCAGTCAGGAAAGACCTGAGTCCTACCAGAAGCCACCCTCAGCTCTCCCCAGACTCATGCACCTGCCTCCTGGGCCCAGCCTCAGCCTCAGGGAGAACAGTAGTGACAGAGAGACCCCACCTGCACCCACTCTAAGAAGGGATGGGAAGATGACAGTATAAGAACACACTCAGCAATAGAAAGACCAATATGACTCCACCAGAATCTAGAGACTCCACACCAGCAAGACCTGAAAAGCACAACACAGATGAAGCAGAAGAGACCTTAAAAATTACCTTATGAAGATAACAGAGACCCTCAAAGAGGAAAATAGAAAATCCCTTAAAGGAGTAGAAGAAAAAACAAACCAAAGAATTCAAGAAATAGACAAATCTCTTAAAGAATCTAAAGAGAGCCAAGAAAAAACAAACAAGTGAAGGAAACAAATGGCCCAAACCTTGAAAACTGAAATAGAAACAATAAAGGAACACAGAATGAGGGGATGCTGGAAACAGAAAAGCTGGGTAAACGATCAGGAACTACAGATGTAAGTATAAACAATAGAATACAAAAGAGAGAAGAGAGAATCTCAGGTGTTGAAGACTCATTAGAGGATATAGAGTCATCGACCAAAGAAAATCTCAAGTCCAACAAATCCCTAACATAAATTATACAGAAAATATGGGACACCGTGAAGAGGCCAAACCTGAGAATAATAGGTATAGAAGAAAGTGAAGAAATACAGCTCAAAGGTACAGAAAACATATTCAACAAAATCATAGAGGAAAATTTTCCTAACCTAAAAAAGGATATGACCATGAAACTACAAGAATCTTACAGAACACCAAATACACTGGACCAGAAAAAGAAGTCACCTCACCACATAATAATCAAAACATCAAACATACAGAGTAAAGAGAAAATATTAAGAGCAGCTAAGGAAAAAGGTCAAGTAACATATAAAGGCAGACAGACCAATCCAAATTACACCCAACTTCTCAATGGAAACTATAAAAGCCAGAAGATCCTGGGAGGTACCCTTGAATGAGTTGGTACAGGAGACCGCTTCCTGAACATAACACCAGTAGACAGACACTGAGATCAACAATTAATATATGGGACCTCCTGAAACTGAGAAGCTTCTGTAAGGCAAAGGACACAGCAAGACAAAAAGGCAGCCCACAGAATGGGAAAAAATATTCACAAACCCCACACCTGACAGAGGGCTGATCTCCAAAATTTACAAAGAACTCAAGAAGCAAGACTCCAAAAGGATCCAATTAAAAAGTGGTCTACAGAACTAAATACAGAATTCTCAATAGAGAAGTCTAAAATGACTGAGAGACAGTTGAGAAAGTGCTCAACATCCTTAGCCATTAGGGAAATGTAAATCAAAACAACTCTGAGATATCATCTTACTCCTGTCAGAATGGCTAAAATCAAAAACACCAATAACAGCTTGTGCTGGAGAGGATGTGGAGAAAGGGGAACACTCGTCCATTGCTGGTGGGAGTGCAAACTCATACAGACACTTTGGAAATCAGTATGGATATTCCTCAGGAAAAATGGGAATCAATCTACCACAAGACCCAGCAATTCCACTCTTAGGCATATACCCAAAAGATGCACATTCATAAAACAAAGATGTCTGTTCCACTATGTTCATAGCAGAGTTATCTGTAATAGCCAGAAGCTGGAAGCAACCCTGATGCCCCTCAACTGAAGAGTGGATAGAGAAAATGTGGTACATTTACACAGTGGAGTACTATTCATCGGAAAAAAGCAATGGAATCTTGAAATTTGCATACATTTGATGGTACTGGAAGAAACCAACCTGAGTGAGGTAACCCAGTCACAAAAAGACAAACATGGTATGTACTCACTCATATATGGATTTTAGACATGGATCAGAATAGTGCCAGTCGGCAATTCCACTGTCAGAGAGGCTGGGAATCAGGTAGGACCGTAAGAGAGATATGCATGGTACCCTAGAGAAGGGGAATGAGCCAAGATCTCCTGAGCAGACTGGGAGCACGGGTAGAGGAGGGGGACTGGAAAGAAGAGAAGAGGAGAAGAGGAGGAGAGAGGAGGACATGGGGGAGCAGGAAGATTAAGTAGGGGGAAGAATACAGGAGAACAAGATGAGAAATGCCATAATTGAGGGAGTCATTATAGGTTTGGGGAGAGACCTGGCACTAATGAGATTTCCAGGGATCTACAAGGATGACCCCAACTGGCAAACTAAGCAATAATGGAGAGGCTACCTTAAATGTCCATCCCTGATAATGAGTTTGATGACTACCCTATATGCCATCCTAGAACCTTCATCCAGTGACAGATGGAAGCAGAGGCAAACATCCACAGTTAAACACTGAACTGAACTCCTGGAATCCAGTGACAGAGAAGGAGGACTGATGAGCAAAGGGGTCAAGACCCAGCTGGTGAAACCCACAGAAACAGCTGACCTGAACAATGG